CCCGCTTTATCAATATCCATACCAGGTGCGTTGGTGGCTGCTCCGGACGAGGAATCGGAGTTCTGTATATGGTGCAATTGCCGACTCGAGAGGTGCAGTTGCCGACCGGTAAATGGCCGCAGCGATGTATACTTACACACAACTAGATGCAACTCCTAACAACCGGCATGTGATTGTGAATGCATGTGAATGCTCAACGACAGAGTTCAAAGCATGCATTGCATATCCGTCGACCTGCTGAGAAGGAGGGGTATTCGGCTGGCTCTTCCTACTTCTACGCAGCGCTCAGCATGTGTCTGGAACGACGACTTTTTCGTCACGGAATTTTCTCTTGACGACTAGCAGTTCAAATGGTGCATTTTCCTTTTTGTTGGGAAGCCGTTGCAACATCTCTATTCTCTATCCATCTGCAGAGAGCGTGAGTCAGGAAGACGACTACCGAAGTACCCACCAAGCTCGGTGAACTTGGCCACGACATGATGGGTAATGTGGGGCCGGTCGCTTCTGTTAAGGTACTTGAGCGTGTCACTATAACTTATATCCGCTCGTATTGTGTCTAGCCATCCTGAGGGACAAAGGAAAGGAGTATGCTTGCATGTTGGTGCTCCATTAGGCTGGTGCCACTTGATTAATTTATCCATGATGCCTTCAACTTGGATGTCTACCGAGGATGTCCGCGATTTTGCACTAGTAATGTGTCGAGATCTAAGGTGCATCTGCCAGGTAGCATCCATCGCCGTTAGCCTTACCATCAACCAAAACAAGGCGCGATGGTTGGAGCGTGTATACGGCCGAAAAAGTCGGAACAGCCAGGTTCCTGAGCAAGCGTCTTGGCAGCAGAAAAGGACGCTGAATCGTGAAATCCAAGTGACGAGACCACCCCTATTCATGCACATGTATCGGCAGTTGATTGCGCAATTTTCGGCCGAGTCACCAAGCATGGCAGTGAAGCTCTCAATAAAGCCCCGAATGCTTTTGCGATGTGCTTGTAGTCGTAGTATATTACATGGTCGCAAGCGTGATGTAAGCAGCCCTGTTCAAATAAGGTTGTGAGGGCCCCTTGTACCGGTAAGCTGTACTGCACGTCAAGTATGTAGCTCACGATCAATTCACTGACTTCGTGCCTTTTGCGCTCTGACCGCAAAGCACCAAATTACAAGCATACAGACCCAGACACGTCAGTCTCATGATTGAAAAAGCTTGTAATGCCCCATACCCCACAACCCCGTATTTTACCACGCTAAACGACAGTACTCCCAATTCATGGGTAAACATCGGCACCAGATGCTACTGGGCCAATAGCAGCTTCCGACTATATGCATACCCCTCCACCTTCCGAATGGTCTATACAAACACCACGATGTCATGTTCCCCGCAGAGTGTGGCCGCGCCTCGCACTTGTGCGCAAACGGCGTAAAAACCGTTGTACCCCGGATTTAAGAACGGAGCGGCAGATGTTTAGTAGCAAGCCATAGTCCGCGGGACATATCCTAGACGCGAGATGCATCTTGGACAGGCTCAAGCCTCACGGTATAAAGCATGGCGAGCCTCAGCTATCCGCTTGATCTTTCTTTCACTCAGCAAACCAACTGCCAATCATGTTGCGCAACGCTGCTCTCGCCACCGCGCTGTTCGTCGGCCTCGGGGCTTCCAGTATCGCACCGACTGCCCAGACCAAGAATGGCTCATACGTCGGGAGGTACTCCGCCGAGTATGACCAAGATTTCTTCCTGGGCGTCCCCTATGCGCAGCCACCTGTTGGAGACTTGCGCTTCAGGAACCCAGTTGGTTTGAACACCACCTGGGAAGAGGACAAGCCAGCTACCGAGTATTCCCCAGAAGTATGTTCCTTATTCGAATGCATATTATCTTGGCTAACCCGGGTTACAGTGCTACGGCTATGGCTCTGACCAGTGGAACTACCAGGTATGCAAAGACTCTTTGCGGATCGGAGCGCCGGACCACACTAATTCTTTGCTCCTCTAGGTCTCGGAGGATTGTCTTTACATCAACATCATCCGCCCGGCAGGATACACCGAGGAAGACAAACTCCCTGTAGCATTCTGGATCCACGGCGGTGGGTTCTTCCAAGGAGGTGGTGTTGACCAGCGCTACAACCTCTCCTTCACGGTACAGAACTCGGTAACTATTGGCAAGCCCATTATTGGCGTTTCCATCAACTATCGTCTCGGCCCGTGGGGTTTCCTCAGTGGCAGCAAAGAGGTTGCCGATACCGGTCATATCAACCTTGGTCTCCGAGACCAGCGCTTGGCCTTGCACTGGGTTCAGGAGAATATCGAGGCGTTTGGAGGTATGTTGAAATACGACGTTTCTTAATGCAAAATAGCGAACTGACAATTGGTAGGTGATCCTGACCAAGTCACCATCTATGGAGAGAGCGCAGGAGGCGCGTCTGTCGGTATCCACCTGACCGCATACGGCGGACGCGACGACCACCTCTTCCGTGCTGCCATCATGCAGAGCGGTAGCCCCATCAACTATGGAAGTCTTTTGGACCCAGCTGTGAGCTCGGCAGCTAAGTACGATGAACTTACCCGCCGTACCAACTGCAACGTTGCTACCAGCCCGCTCGAGTGTCTGCGCAGTCTGCCTACCGAGCAACTCAACGCAGCCATCAACATATCAAGCCCAATTCTCAACGTCACAGACTTTAGGCCTTCCTTGGACTACGACCTCATTCAGAAGCCTACTTCTCTCCAACTCGAAGCTGGTGAATTCGTACATGTTCCCATTATCATTGGAACCACTTCTGATGAGGGCGCTTCCTTCAGCCCTTTCCCTGTAAACAGTACCGAGGACCTGCGCACTTTCATCCGGGCTACCGGTGTACCCGCCAACCTGACTGAGCAGCTACTCATTGCCTATCCCGACGATCTTTCAGTTAACGTGATCGCAAGTCTGGGAGATGCTAGGCCGGGCCCACCATTTGGAGCACAGTTCCGCCGCTCTGCATCCTACTTTGGTGACCAGGCATTCGTTGCAAACCGTCGTAAGACTTGCGAGATTTGGGCCGCAGCAGACATCCCGGCATACTCGTACCGTTTCAACGCCATTCCTGCCGGCATCCCCGCAGCGGTTGGCGTACCGCATTTCCAGGAAGTATCCTTTGTATTTCTCAACCTCGACGGTGTCGGCTACAAGCCTGCTGCTGTAAGTACATGTTCCATCTCTGGACGATAGATTACTCGGAACTGACCATGCTAGACTCCACCGTTCGAGAACAAGACTGAGCCCTACCGGGAACTAGCCCGCTTCATGAACAGCAACTGGATCAGCTTCGTCCACGACCTCGACCCTAACTCATGGAGGGATTCATTCGACAGGAACGGCACAGAGGCTGAGTGGCCTGTGTATGACAATGCCAATCCCTTGGACTACGTCTTTGACGCAAACGTCTCAAGCTTCGCCGAGCCCGATACATTCAGGAAGGAGGGCATGGCGCTGATCAATGCCAATGCCTACAATGTGTGGCGGAGATAGACATTTCTCCAAAGAACACATTGTTTGTAAATAGCCTTGCTTGCAGAAATGCAATACACATAATGATATCATCATCTCGATCTTACATCCTTTGTCCCCCTACCTAATCTCCCTCTTCTATCCATTCAAACACTGGAGAAAAGAAAGGAGAAAGAGAATCCCCACAACCAACAAACCCCCCAATCGAAACACAATGGTGATTAGTTAGGCCTCCCTCACCTCGCTTCACCAGCGCTTGCCGCCTGACTCGAAAAGAAAGAGCAACAATGCTGATGCCTTCTCGCTAAAACCAAAAAAAGGTCTTGGCCCTGTACTCTGGCCCCCCCGATCTTGTCCCAAGCCACTCAGCGCGCCAACCAAACGAGCGGCCACCCCCCCTTCCTTCCCTTCTTGGCAAAACTCAACTCAGCCCAGAAAAAAACGGTTGAGTTGAAAAACATATAGTAAGCTTACGCCTTGCGCATTGTTTTCCTTTTCCTCTTCGTTCTTCCTTTCGTTCGTTTCGTCGCTTGACTCGCTTGACTCGCTTGCACGATGCGCTGCCGTGTGTGCGTGGTGCGTGGTGCATGGTGCTTTGCTGCCTAGAATTCTTACTAGCTGGTCGATACCATGCGAGTAACATTTGTTACTATCGAATGGAGTTTTTTTTTGGGGGAGCAATGGGAAAGGTTGTTTCCAACTATGCGCACTCCCTCCCCTTTTTGAGTGTGTGCTGTTGCATCTCCTCTTCTCCTTTTCTCCTTCTCCCACTTGGTTTAGTCGTTTTTTTTGGGCTGATGAGAAGCGTATGGAACGATGGGTGTGAGTGTGAGTGTGTTGTTTGGTTCCGGTGAGGGATGAGATGAGAGCTGAGATGTGGGTTCTTTGGGTTTGAGGTTTCCGTTGGTTACGTACGTTTTTTTGGGCATGTGGGTGGATTAGTAGTAGTAGTAGTAGTACAGCGAGTCGGAAGATGGCTGTTTTGGCACTTGTTGTATGGAATTGTGAAACATGTGTATATATGCATGTGAATGTATGTTCCGATTCGATATTTTTAGGTGTGAGACTGGGTCTTTTCGTAATTTTTTCTAAAGCTGATGTACATAAACTACCTAAATCCACTTTTTGGTAGCCCCGAGTACAAACCTACGCGAGTACACGCAACGCCTGCGGGTCTAACCTTAGGCAGGAACCGATGCGACCAATCGCCTTTTGACATACAAGCTGAGGCTTATCGCATAGGCAACGGTCTTCTGTGGCTTTTATTTGCTGCCATGGTCCTGTTGCGGTAAGCGTTGCGATGGGGCTCGTCTTAGCTTACGGTTCCTTCGACGGTTAGACGAGAGGGCTATGGGGAGGACCCAGCGCAAGGAGCGCTGGCTGCTTGTGCATGAGTACGTGGTCGTTGAAGGCGGAGTAAGCCACAGAGATCAATGACTTGGGTGGTGCGGGTTGGAAAAGTGATACATATAGCATGAGGGTTTCGTTCGGATTCCGAGATGAGATCAGACAGAGTGATACTACAACTTACAGTTTTGAGCTTAATAGCTTATTGCTGATTCATCTTGTTACCTTTAATCTTTTGTTGTTATTTCTTCTTTGTTTTTGATACCCTTTCGCTCTTCGTTCCGTCACAATGAACACACTAGTCTATCGTGCGGATCCTCCCCTTGAAGGATGCACTGAAGTAGGACTCCCTGGGTGCGAAGTCGAAAACACAATCTATGGCTACTATCCGAACCTCGGGGCCAACGTCTTCTTCGCTGCCTACTTCGGCCTCGCATTTGTCTTCCAAATCTACTTTGGTATCCGGTACAAGACATGGACGTATATGATTGCTTTGGGCTGCGGTTGTCTCGCAGAGTGTATTGGATACATTGGACGAATACTCCTCCACGAAAACCCCTGGAATGATGTTGGGTTCAATATCCAGATCGTGTTGCGTAAGTGGTTGGTCTTGTAGCGGCATACAACGCAAGCTGACAACGTACAACATAGTCATCTTCGCACCAGCATTCCTAGCAGCAGGCATTTACCTGACACTCAAGCACGTCGTCATTCAATTCGGTCAGGAATGGTCAAGACTGAGGCCAAGTTGGTACACATACATCTTCATCGCAGCCGATCTTCTATCTCTGGTTCTTCAAAGTGCCGGTGGCGCTCTTGCAGCTACGGCAGAAGATGGAGATGCCATTTTGGATATTGGAACGAACATCATGATTGCCGGTATCATCTGGCAGGTTGTTGGTGAGTCACTCTCTGTTTGTCCACGCTGAAGCAGCACTGACACGCGACTAGCGCTCGCCCTCTTCGGTCTTCTCGTCCTCGAATACAGCATCCGCACCTACCGCCGCCGCGATCGCCTCTCACCATCTGCCCTTGCACTCTGGGAGAATCGACGCTTCAAGTTCTTCTGTAGCGCTGTCATAGTCGCCTATGTTACCATCTTAGTCCGATGCGTGTATCGCATTCCCGAACTACTAGGCGGTTGGGGCGGTGAACTCATGCAGGAGGAGGTGGAATTTATCATCTTGGAGGGTGCGATGATTGCGATCACAGTGCTGGCACAGACGGTGTTCCACCCTGGACTTTGCTTCCCTCCCCTTGGGAATACCTTTGGAAAGAAGAAGCACGTCGACACGAATACACTGGAGACAGGGACTGCGATGTCGGAACAAGAACGCATCCACAATTAGGACTTGTTCTAAGCGGCGTCTAGCGCATGATGGATCAGTCAAACAATGGATGGAATGGTATGAATATGTAGATTTAGCGTTTTGGGTGGAGGCGTTGCTCGCCTGCTTCTTGGTGCGACCTCTTGTTATCTGCGAATTTTGTGCAAGTATATACATAAATTTTCTATTCAACGGCGTTTGCGTCGAAGATTTATCGAGTTTAATGTGGGACAAGTATATATAGAAAAAGGGAAGTCGAGGGTGATGCAATACTATTTCTGATTTGCTACTTCGTACTAGCTCCAAGAGCTCGGGCCGTAACCGCGGCATTGCTATAATTCACTGTCGAGTCTCAGCATTGCTCTCTACTCGGCCAACGTGCGCAATTACGGCATCCCGAGTCACATGTTACCAGTCGCGGGGCTTTGCAGGCCAAGATGAATCCGTCAAACGGCTCAACTGACCAGAGTGTTGCCGACAATGCTGGTGGCAACGGCGCAATCAGTACGTCGGCTGTCACGCCGCAATCGACAACACCCATGGCTATGCCCCCAGCATGCTCATCCCAAATGGCTTCCTCCCCACCAGGCGCAACTGCTGGCGCTACTAGCGGCCCAAGTTTCCCACAGTATTCGGCCTCGACGGCTGCGATTCTTGAGAGGCTTCAGGGAAAGAGTGGCCATGCCGCCGGCAGTGCTGCATTTGAGGCCAAGCGGGCAGAAATCCTCCAGAGTTATGTCACGAGCGACAAGCTACCGACACCCCCACCTGCCGTGGCCACTGGGCGCAGAGGAAGAGGAGGCAGAGTGAGCACGCCGAGCGGCCTCAAGACCGAAGTCGGCGCATTGCCTGCGCCCACGTCGTCTGGCCGCGCATCTGGCAGAGGGCGTGGACGGGGGCGCGGCGGGCGGGGTGGAAGAGGAGGCAAGCGAAAGCGCTCCGACAGCGACGAGGAAAGCCATGTCAGTTTATGCAACAGGCGGGAAGATTGAAGACTAACGTCATGTAGAACGACGACGGCGACTCGGACGTCTCGGATTCGTACACACCACTTCCTACGAGGACAAAGTCTGGCCGCAGTGTCAACAAGCCTGTCGCATTCGTCCCAGTCATTCCAGAGCCGGCTCAAGGTGTAAAGCGGAGAAAGTCAACTAAGACGCTCCTCGCCGCCAAGTGCAAGACGTGCCACCGGGAGACCGACCCGTCGAACAACCGGATAGTATTCTGTGATGCCTGTAGTACTGCCTATCACCAATACTGTCACGATCCGCCTATCGATAACGAAGTCGTCACTGTGCTAGAGAAGGAGTTTTTATGTACTCCATGTACGCGGGCAAAGCAGATTGCTGTTGAGGGTGCACACGATCTAATTGCTGCCGAGGACCTGTCAGTTGATCAAGTATGCCACTCTTCCAATAGCTACGTGCATCTGCGATGCCTTCATATGCTGACTTGAGCAGAAACGTGCATACTTTTCTACACTCCCTCAACATCAACTAGTCGGCCTCCTCCTAACAGCCACAATCCGACATCCGGAGCTCCCCGTCTTCCCTCCAAACGTTCGGACTCTTATATCCGACACATCAAACGCCAAAGCGCAACCGCAAGAGCAACAACAGCAACAGCAAGTACAAGAGCAACAGAACCAGCAACAGCCTCCTCCGCCAACCCTCCAACAGCCCTCAACAACATCACCTGCAAATGGTGCCACACCCCAGTTCTCGTCACACCCACAGTCGGAATTGGGATCGACAGAAGCCCAAACCCTGGGCGATAACAGTAATCAGCCCCTCACGACGATTGATCTGGCTGGCAACCAGTACGACGAAGACGACGGCTACGACACGGATCCGCCTGCACATTACCCCAAAGCCGGCAACGGACTTGCGCGGACGTTGCGTCCTGAGAGCGAAGACCTAAATTGGCTTGTCGACGACAACTTTGAGGTTTTTAGTCACGGGTGGAAAGGTGATGGCACGGGCATGGGTGCGGATGGTACGCTGGATGGCTTGGGCGAGGGACAGAAGGTGGTCTAGGATACTGCCGAGCAGCATCTTCCACAGTGAAACTCTTCGGAGGAGCGATTGACCAAGAGGTGCGGATGTGACCACGGTCTCCATGTGAAAACAAGAAGCAAAATAATTCGTGACAGAGACTCACCTTTGCAAAAAAAAACCCCCCGAGTCAAGCATATTGTTGTATTACCATCATCAATACAGATGCCCAAAGTCATGCGTCCAAACAGAAATGTAATTCCATTACTGAGAAATCCAAAAAGAATTACAAGAGGTAAAGTGTGGTATCTCGAGAAGATAATTGAAAAACAACCAGGAAAAAAGAAAAGAAGAGCCCCCTTATTACAACCGTTTATAAGCCAAACCTCAAACCCAAACAAAACCATCGCCATGGTTACTTCAACGAAGAGAAAAGTGGTTTTTGAAGAAACGCCATTCCATGCAAAAACAATATCGTAACATAGCGCGTAACACAGGTCGTGCCTTTCATTCATCATCCATGGCATAAGCGCTCGGATCCGCCCACTTTTTCGCTTTAAGCACTCTCATTCTCTTGATGGGACTCGCAGATCGCTGCTGCGTCTCGCGTTCATGAGCCTCGAGTTTGGCTCTTAGCATCTCGTTTTCTCGTTCCAGCTCCTCGACACGATCTCGCAGCTCCGGGTCCGGGTCTTCGTATACTTTGATGTCTTGCTTCATTTGGGCCTTCGTTGCACGGATTACTACGTCGATTTTTGAGTCGATGTGGGCTTGTTGGTTGTCTTGTTCGTTCTCTAGCGCGGTTTGCCACCTGCGGCGTTCTTGGTCGACTGCTGCTTCCATTTCGTGGTAGCACTCGTCGCGGATTTCTTGTTCAAAGTCCACTAAGTGGTCTTCCGCTGCGGCCCATGATGATTCGGCGGCTTTACGTCGAGCCGTCTCTTCAGACAAGCGGAGGGCAAAGACTTCTAGTTCGGCAGTCAGGCGAGCTACTTCGGCATTGGCGTTTTCGAGCTCTTCCATGATTGCAGCGGGTGAGGCTCGGCCGGATGACGCTGTGCGAGCAGAAGATGATGTGCCAGGCCGCTTCTGTGGTAAACTTGCCAGAATCGTCTCTGTTGTGGACGGGATTCGCGGTACAGTTACTTCTCGTGCAAGGGCGGAGTAGCGGAGGATTTGGGATGTCGCGTTGTAGTCGCTCTTCGGGTCTGCTGTGACGACCATGATGGACTTTTGGGCTGACCGATGTTGTTGCGCTGTTCGGGAGGAAGAAGGATACGAATTTGAGAAGAGAAGTTCAGTAAGTTTGCACTGACGGAACGGAACAATGTTCTGTTGACTGATTAGTATACGATTTCTTTTCAGGGGAATGATGTTGAGCATACCTTTGAGCCACCTGCATTGTCCGACTGCATCTGCATGCACTGGCCAAGATACATAAGAGACTCATTGATCTTACCGGCCTCAGCAAGTGTTTCACCGGCGGTCTTAGCATTCCGAGCACGCTCTGATCCTGCCAAGTCAACAATGGTGAGATTGCTGCTAGACCAAGGGCCTTTGTTTTCCGCATTGCGCTTCTTGATCTCAATGTTGAAAAAGCCGTGGCTACGTGAGCTCACGGCGTTGCTTCCAGTGCCAGTGACCTTGCGCTCCATGAGACCGGTCTCAAGTATCATCATAGCTTCCTCATAGCTGCCACAGATAATTTTGGTAAGCCCAGCAACGACTTTGCGATCCGGACTCTGCTCAGTATTCTTGAAGAGCAGCGCCCTACGCTTCACACTGTGGTTCTTGTTTTTTGAGGCGCTGCCGCTCAAAAGGTCAAAGATACGGTCGTTATATACTTCGTACATGGACATGACGATTGCGTATTCTACGGTCGGGTCTTCTGGAAGGTGAATATCGTCAACAGAAGGGGTCTGAGGCAGCAATGACGGCCGCGGGATCTTATTTGATTTCCAGTTGCTACCCGTGGAGAATATACTACAATCCTATTTCACCAATGAGCTCTTGTCTGCAGTAGTCTGCAATATAAAGGAAGCAACTTACCTGCATGGGAGTTTGCGCTCTTGAAGGAAATCGTTCAGATTGGTTGTCTCCATATACTGTATCCAAGTATGCGGTTGCAGTGTACATCTGAGAATCCGAGACATCGGCTGCCGCCAGTGACGAGAAGGCCGGGGCCCCATAGAAAGACTGTACGAGTTGCCCGTCACAGGCTTGATAGACAGTATCAAGCGTCATCTGAACCAAACCACGCTGGGCTTTGGTTCCAAGAATTGTATGGCTCTGTCCGTGTGTTAATACCGGGAACCCCAATGTCGCATATAGTGCAACACACCTTTCCGGAGCCACTGCAGCCTAGCGTTGCAAATAGTCCATCTCGTCCATGGTGGCCTGGTGCGCCCATGACGCCCTCAATCATTTGGACGATGCCCGTGCCCTTGAACAGATGCATTTGCTGCGCATCTTCCTCAAAGACTTGCGTGAAGGCAAAACGCTCCACGGCTCGCTTTCGTTTATCATTCGTGTTTGTAGGCGGCTGTATCGTGATATGCGTTGGGTGGCTTTGATCGCTTTCCTCGACGGTGAGGAAGCGGGCATTTGTAGCGTTGGAGGGGCGCAGGCGCAAAAAGACATTGAAGAGCGAACTAGAGGGGCGCGTCGGGGCGTCCATGGTGAGGGGATGTACGTATGTGTACGTGAGAGTCTCTTGCGCAGGATGCAGGCCCAAAGTTAGTTAACAATGGTGTACCACTAATATGGACCCAGCCATGCTCGTGTGTGCCGGTAAACAAGCCCCGGCCGCGATTGCCCTGGCAACATAGGTGGTTTCCCGCATCGCGTCATGGCGCATCGATGTTCCTTGCACTAGCATCTTGGACGGCACGTTCTAGACCCTTTCCAGACATCTAACCATGCCATGTACCTTTGTATAGTAATTTACGCCTCGGACTCGAAGCCTGATTTACGCGGGTGCCATGCTTCCGATGATATCGACCTGGCAACTACGCAACAACACCTTCGCTCCGCAAGGCCTCCACATCCTCTTTGCTCATTCCTAGCGTATCACTCAGAATCTCATTGGTATGCTGACCCAGCAACGGTGGTGGCAGTCGGATTCCTGGAGTAGACTGCGACCATTTCACCGGCGTGTTTACCAGCTTGATTGGCCCGCATGCTGGGTGCTCGACCTCTTTGACCATGTTACGCGCAAGCACTTAATACGGTTAGTATTCACCAGTGCAAAGTCATTGCGGTGTCAATGCAAAACATACCGTGCTCGTGATTCAGCGTATCTTGAACATCGTTGATGGCAGCATAGGCTATACAAGTCAGTCCAATGGTTGCTTGAAAAAGGTAACCAGAACCACTTACGCATTCCGCTTCCCTCAAAGATATCTAACAGCTCCTGGGTGCTTTTCTTTCGCGTTTCCGCTTCGATCAACTCCTCCAGCTCATCCCTATGCTTTACTCTTAATGCATTCGTTTTGAACTTCTCATCCGTAATCCACTCAGGTTTACCCAGCCTATTGCACAGTGTTCCATATAGCTTGTCGTTGCCTCCGCCAAGCAGAATGTCCCCATCAGCTGTCTTGAACGCCTTGTAGGGCACAATCGATGGGTGCGAGGTCCCCCAGCGTCCAGAATCGCGCTGACCACTGATGAGACAAGAGCTAGCAATATTAGCCAGGGTGGCCACTTGACAGTCTGAAAGGGCAACGTCAATATGCTGACCACCGGATCCAGGGCTCCTGAAGCGCCGGAAAAGAGCCGCGATGATAGAGTTGGATGTGTAGAGGCCGGTTGTCAAGTCGGTTACTGCAACGCCGACCTTTACGGGCGGGCCATCGCGAGTTCCGGTTATGTGCATGAGGCCCATTTCGCTGAGCTCATGTTAGCTTGCACTCTAACACTGACAGACAACTATTTAGCATACGCTTCTACCATAACATCGTAGCCAGCCCTATTCCTATACGGCCCGGTCTGACCATAGCCTGTGATACTGGCGTAAACTATATTCGGGTTGATCTTTGAAACGGTATCGTAGTCCATGGCATACTTTGCGAGGGATCCAGGAAGATAGTTCTCAACAAGCACGTCGCATTCTTTGACAAGGCGATGGAGGATGTCTACACCAGCAGGATGCTGAAACGACAATCCCATGGATCGTTTGTTTCGATTGACCTGTCCATGCTTAGTCTCAAGTGGGTCAAGACAACAAGCAGCCTTACGCCTAAGTAGTATGCACTTTCGCCTGGTCCCTCTTGTTCGTCGGTATACTTGGCATAGGGTGGTCCCCATGCACGAGTGTCATCTTTTCGTCTTGGTCAGCGTCTACCTGATGCACGTGATTAAATTCTGATGTACCTCCTCTGGTAGGATGTTCAATCTTGATAACGTCGGCTCTAGGACACAGTCAATTCCCAATTCGTCAGTGCTGCCAACTGTGTTCGTTGGTCCATACAGAGCAGTCCATGTCGTACCCAAGATCTCCTAAAATTTGTGTGCAATATGGCTAAAGATTTTAGAATAGTCCCAACAGACTAAGGGCTGAGATACTCACACCAGCAAGGACTCTTGTCATGTCCAGCACTTTGATGCCAGCTAACGGAAGATCAGATCCATCTCCACTTGCAGCTGCGGTCGCAAGCCGCCTGACATGACTTGATCTAGCCCAGCTGAGCCTTGGGATTGGCGACACCTTTTGAAAAGCGTATCTCGGGCTTCGTACAACAGAGCCTATCATATTGGAATTGAGGTGTGAGGAGTAACGACATGTATTAGACGTGGGGGATGCTTGTATTGGGTATTCCCGAAATGCGCTACTAGTTCTAGTTCCGAGGCAGTCGGAAGCTGCAGCCCGCCGTCATTGCTTCCTTCTCCAATCCGTTACCCCACCATGTTCACTGGACTTGTTGAAACGATTGGCAGTAAGCAGTCACACGACATCTTTTCCGCGCGATAGCGCTAATGATAGCTAGCTGTTGCCGCCCTTGAGAAGCTCGATCAGACAGCGTCGGGAGGCGGCGGCACGTCTCTGACCATTACGGGATGTGAGGATATCCTAGGTGATGCCCATTTGGGTGACAGCATCAGCGTCAACGGTACGTCGCAGCGAATACTGCTAAGGTTGCTGTCTGACTCGGACAGGCACATGTCTTACCGTTACCGAGTTCACCAAATCCTCGTTTAAGATTGGATGCGCGCCCGAGACACTCCGGCGAACAAACCTGGGCTCGCTCAAGGAGGGTTCCAAGGTCAACCTCGAGCGCGCCGTCTCGGCAAATACACGCATGGGCGGTCACTTTGTGCAAGGCCATGTCGACACTATCGCTACTATCGAGTCGGTAACTCCAGACGGCAATGCCCTTACCTTCCGCTTCAAACCTCGCGACACGGCGGTGCTACGATACATTGTGGAGAAGGGCTATGTCACGATAGACGGCGCAAGCTTGACAGTGACCAAGGTCCAGGATGGCCCTAATGGGTGGTGGGAGGTGATGCTTATCGCCTATACACAGGAAAAGGTAGTGACGGCGAGCAAGAAGCCTGGTGACGACGTCAATGTCGAAGTAGACCAAGTAGGCAAATACGTAGAGAAGAGCGTGGCTGGGTATTTTGAAGGCTCAACCAATGGCGAGTTCGCCATACTAGAGAAGATGGTGTCGAAGCTCGTGGACGAGCGGCTGAAAGCGCTGGGAAGATAGGCAGACGCGAACATGTGCATTCTTGAGCTGCCAAGTCGATAGGCTGGCCGTCGTCGGCCCCACCGGTGTAGTACCCAACAAGAATAGATTATTGTTACGGCTGCTCATCTGGTTGCCTCGTCAAGACTAAAAGCATGGTTGGCAGCCTCTGTGATTGTGGCTTGACAGAGTGAGGCGCAGTCTTACTTTTGTCAAACACACACACATATATATATTTTGACGACCTGCGCCTAGCGTTTGTGACAAAGTGGTTTCTTGACTGTTCACAGCTGTTCCAGCCGCTCTTCCTTGGAACTGGGATTCGAGCCATGTTCCTCTTTCCCCTCTATCCAGGGCTGGCCGGCGCTTGTCAAGCCACACGCTTCCGACGCAGACCGCCAGTGGCCTCGGACACCAGACTCTTGATCATTGTTTGACCGCATTGCTTACGTTGCAGGACTAGTCCGGGCTACGAGTGGGGATATGTCAGGCAGGACACCGTCCGACAGCGCCTCGAGGCAGCACGCAAGCGGACCAGGTCATCGATTCAAACAACCAGCACACTTCGGCCGATTCTCCATCACTGTCTCTGCGTCTGCCGATCCATCTCCTACTGACAGCGCAGCCCTGCAGGAGTGTGCAGGAGTGGCGTCTTCGACCACCCACGATAGCACTTTGGCTCGGCCTTACCGCGCACACAATTGCGCGGAGCGCAAAAACAAAGCAGGACGAAAAAAGTTTGGTTTGGGGGCTAGATTGTACGATCAGACAAAGCGTGCAAAAGAGGAAGCGAGATTGCGGGTTACATGCAGGTTTGGTAAGGGAATTTGTCGGCACAAGCCATTGGCTTTCTCACCGGCGTGCTGCTGCATAACCACGTCAAGAGCCGACCCTCTTCAAGCGCGCATGCCACCAGACGGCTACCCCAGACGCTCACCTTATAGCGTTATCGCTCGAACGCCACTCCGTCTCTTCACCACCGACTTTCTGACGTCCAAACTATGCGTTACTTGTAATCATCTCTTCTCGGTTGTATAATCCCCGGCTCACCCTCCGCCATGGATTGGCGACTACTGGACTACGCCAAGGAGGCTGAGGAGACCGCCAATGGCCTTCTCGGCTTCGAGGGCGAGATCCCCCAATACCGCAAGGACATCAGAGGCTATATGGCTGAGCTGTATGCCATTTCGCACGCTTTGCGTGAGTTGGATGATGCACTCAGGTCCATCAGCTACAGAGGATACGCAACCTACATTATCAAAGATCTCGAAATTTGTCTTCCAACTCTAGGGCATACACTTGATGACGTCCAAGACATCTTCAGCAAGTCAAAGAGAAGTCGACACGCGGCGCCAGGCGCTTTCCCAGGCACCCCGCCTTACGCCATCATATGGGAGGATGCACTTGCGGATTTCAAGACACAAGGCATGTCCTTGCCCCAAAGGTTCGAAGCAGTCAGAATGTACCTACAGGGCATGCACGACACATTAAAAGGGTATGTGATGGAATTGAGCTGTCCATGTGAAGACCGCTGACTTGCTGTAGAGAGGAAAATGATGTTGAGTTGGCAAACTACAAGGTTTCATTATCCAAGTTGCTCAAGAAACAGAAGCCGATAGAATCATACTTCAGCAAGCTTTCGGTCCAAGGTAGCGGCAGAAGTGGTGCCAAAACACCAAAGCCATCTTCTCCCAGAGTTTCCCGACCGAAAATACACAGTCACCCTACATATCCAGTTGCCAATTACAACTACCAACATCCGTCATCGCCTCTACCGCATCGAGCTCATATTGCCCCAACATGGGGCGGCATAGGAGATATACCCTTTGTCCCACCACCTGTTCCAGAGATCCCTCAATCGCCCACACACTCGTCTGCATCATCACAGGCCTATTCGAGTCAATCCACCGATTCCGAGCCCGCTGCACATTGGGCTATGAAGATATTTGATGGGCGCCACGGCTCAACACCATTTCAGACACTGGGCGAGGCTACCGAATGCTTTGGAAGGAACGAACCTCGTGTGATCGGAATGTTGCAAGACGACGGGTTTGAGAAAGTATTGGAATTGCCTTTCGAAGCTACCAACGTATGGGTAAGGATGTACTGCAGAGCTGAAGACAATCGTGCGCGAATCCTGTTCCTTTCCATGGACTCTGAAGGCCGCCGCATGAGATATCAGATCCCAGTCACAGCGCTGGCGCTGCGGCGAGCAGGTTCATGCCTACAGCTCTGTCGGGCCAATCGTCGCGATGGACAACTAGATCTCTGGGCTAGGTTACGCTTCCCCCTCTACGAACGTAAGCACCTTGAATACTGTCATTGCAAAGCTCCTCTAACAATGACCTAGGTATGGTTCTGTTCTACTGTACCGCCATTGCCATGAAGCGACAAGACCAAACTACTGTTCCAGAGGGACTTGTCGATTTTTTCGAGCCCGAGAGCATCATATTTAGCGGGTAAGCTATCAACGGAATATTCAGTATTGAGCATTTCTAACAAGACTCAGTGAGACTACAGACAACAGATATCTACATGCTTTCCGTATCTACTATGATGAAGATGCGGGCTGCGTGCGTTTCGAGGCTACTGCTCGTCGAGGTCCAATGAACACCATACCCATCTGGACTGCCTTCGTTACACAGTACGTTGGACGCAGGGACTGGATGAAACGTGTCAGTCCCGACACGATACAGTTCGAAAAGTTGCATCCGTACGTGTTCTGCGACAGTTACAGGCTGCCCAAGGGACCTACGGGCAAATACCGGCTCACTTTCACAACCCCTGAAGGTATGACGGTCCAATTTAGTGTACTCATTTCGTTACTGACTAGAAGGACAGATGCAAAACAATTCAGAGAGAGCTTCTATCGAATTGGCATGGCTTGAGGGTTGCCAGATGTACACAGTAGACACGAGGCATGCTGGTCTGCCCGTCTCTGCACCGACATGCTCAACACTCGCTGAGACGACGATGACGACTTTACGAACAAAAATATCTATGACTTTATGACAACGATGATGAGCAAACGACGACTACGATGAGGGTGGCTTCTGCTTTTCGGCATGATATACCCCACTCGGTCTACCTTTCCTCCTTGGGCCAACAAATTGATTGACAATCGGCCTTTGCTGCTGGCGCGACTTGTTGTTTGGATTCCCTTGTCATTGTACTTATGCACATTGTTTAATATGCAAACTTAGTATTAGTACTGAAAAAAACAGCGCTGCAAGGCGCTAGAAAATCTAATCATCGTGGTGTCAAGCTTCTCTCGGACTAGCTTCTCAATGTCTTGCCCCGCTTTGAGACCCTTGGTGATTAGTGTCTGTGCGTTTCTGGTTCTACCAAAACCAAAATTTCCGTATCCTGCCTTTTGGCAATCGCAAAACCAATCTCTCTCTTCGCTTGCCTTACAAGAATTTCTCTTCCTCAACTCTCAGATTCCTTAGCTTTTACAACCGTCATGGCGAACCAGCAAGAGTCAGGAAGGAAGGACCCTCTCACGGGCATGGCGCACTCTGAGGCGCATTATTTCAACAGGTAGGCACTCGCGAACGCTCCAAAGATACATTTTACTGACGTCGTGTTGCGCAGTTACAACCACCATGGTCCGTAAAGAATGCCATGTCTTGATGAAAATGATACTAACGCGCGGGTGAAGGCATCCACGAGGAAATGCTGGTACGCGTGCCCCACTTCCTTCCTTGCCCGAGCAAATGTTGCAGTCACAACCACAAGCAGCTTGGCTAATGTTACGCGTCTAGAAAGATGAAGTCCGAACCAAGAGCTACCGCGACGCCATCTACCAAAACCCTCACCTGTTCAAGGACAAGGTCGTCCTCGATGTCGGATGCGGCACCTCCATCCTCAGCATGTCCGCGCTCCCCCGCCTGAACACAATACTCAAACACACACTGATACCTGGGATATAGGTTCGCCGCCAAGGCCGGTGCAAAGCACGTTATCGGCGTTGACATGTCAACTATTATTGAAAAGGCAAAGGAGATTGTCGAGGTAAACGGCCTGTCGGATAAGATTACCCTGCTGCAAGGCAAGATGGAAGAGGTGGTCCTGCCCTTCGACAAGGTCGACATAATAATATCCGAGTGGATGGGCTACTTCTTGCTCTACGAGTCCATGTTGGACACTGTCCTGTACGCGCGCGATAAGTACCTGGTCAAGGACGGCCTGATCTTCCCCGATAAGGCTACCATTTTCATGGCCGGTATCGAAGATGGCGAGTACAAGGATGAGAAGATTGGCTGTAAGTCTGGTGAATCCCAGCGATGTTTGCCGATATACTAATGAGATCAGTCTGGGACAACGTTTGGGGCTTCGACTACTCCCCACTCAAGGCCACTGCCATGACTGAACCTCTCGTCGACACTGTTGACATCAAGGCCGTCGTTACTGACCCTTCACCGGTCATCACACTCGACCTTTACACGTGCACTGTTGCCGACCTCGCATTCCGGTTACCGTACGAGCTCAAGGTACGCCGCAACGACTTTGTCCACGCCGTCATTGCCTGGTTCGACATTGAGTTTGCCGCCTGCCATAAGCCCATCCGCTTCTCCACCGGCCCTCACACAAAGTACACGCACTGGAAACAGACTGTCTTCTACCTTAAGGACGTCTTGACTGTCGAAGAAGGCGAGACAATCAGCGGTATTCTGGAGAATAAGCCCAGCGAGAAGAACCACCGCGACTTGGACATCACCATCTCCTACAAGCTCGAGACCCAGGATATGCACAGGCAGTCTGCTGGCGAGGCACAGTACAAGATGTGCTAGAGGATTTGTGTATGTGTGTACAAGTAGACCGCGAAGTTTGTAGGTCTTGAAACAAGAAAGAGAGAAAAATGGGGATTTCTTGTTGCATGCTTTCTTGATCGATAGACTCTTGTGCTCGCACAACGGTAAAACCCGGCGTTTTGTTTCTTCTTTTCGTTCTCTTTTCTTGTCACTTTCAACAGTTGTTTTGGTCATAACACGGGGTGTGTATGTGTGGGTGTGGATCTGGGCTCGGGTCCTTCTTATTGAATTGCGGGAAAAATCTAGGGTAGCATGAGCATGCGTGTCACGAGTTATGAAGTAGGGACCAATCGAATCATTGGGAATTCCTCCCCTATAACAAAAAAAATTGTACAGCAAGGACCTGGACATGATGAATACTGAATGTGTGGTTTTGCTTTGTACACGGCTGATGAAGAGTGGAAGATCAAAAGTGGAAGAGAGAAAAAAAGGACTAAACGCCTTTTTCATTAGAATCTACGTCATGCTTCGCCCGAAGCGGTGTGGGGTATATGTATGTACACGCCGATATGTACCAGTTGAACCAAACTCCGAGATATGAAAGCCCCATAGGTAGCTAATGCAATGAGAGAAAAACTAGGCCAAATAGACCTGTTTGTAAATGCAACCCAAGCCCAAGCCCAAGCCCCCCCAATTTTTTATTCGGAAATCGTCGTAGAAAAGAGGAAAGCCTAGAAGCTGAGATATAATCTTTCCAAATCGCCATGCAACATCTCTGACATGAAAAAAGAAAAGCTAGAAACCTAGTAGTCATAACTCTCATTCCCAAACCCCTCATCATCATCATCCCGATAGTTGTACTCGAGATCTTCTTCCTCCTCTTCTTCCCCTAGCATCTCCTCTTCCTCTTCCTCCTCCTCCCCTTCTTCTTCACCCTCCGCATCCTCATCCGTAACTGGGTGCTGGAGAGCAGAAGCAGGCGGAGACCTATTCACCGGACTAGTACCTTGGGCGCTATCCGCGGGACTAGCCGAAGCATTTGTTCCACCGCCTGGAAAAAGTTCCTTGAGCCTATCGTAATTGATGTGATTGCTAAACGCCTTATTCGCTCGTTTCTTGAGCATCTTGTGCGCGGCGTCTGCAGCACTAGTAGCAGGTTGACCCTCGAGGACGCTGCCGTCACCCATCTGGTGGTGTTTGCGTTTCTGTTTGGGCTTCTTAGGCTTGTCTTCTGCGGCCTCGAGTTCGGCGAGGAGCATCTTTTCTTGCTGGGCGCGGAGCCATTCTTCGTTTTCCGTGATCCAGATGGCTTCTTTGCGGCGGACTTCTTCGGGGCCTAGGATGCATGTGGCGACGTCTGGGTCGTCTTCGAATTCTTCTTCGCCGATTTCAGGGTCCGTGTTTATGGGGATGTCGCGTTTGTCTTGGGCCGCGCGTGCCATTTCGGCAGCCGTCCAACCGGAGCGTCGGAGGAGATCGTGGTCTTCGTTGTTGGCGAATTCCTTGAAAATACCCTCCCAGTCCTTGATGGCATTCGTGAGTTCTTCCTCAATGTCTTGCTCGATTTCGAGATCTTCTTCAGGAACGACGATGGGGACTCGCTTCTTAGGGGGACGACCGCGTTTCTTCGGCATGACAAAGTCTGGATCAGTAGCCTCGCCTGCTTCGACTTCCTCGAGCGCAGTGGCGACACTATCGATCATTGCGTCGGCATTGCCATCAAAAGCCTCGACTTCTGCAGGTACGCCGCTTCCTCGAGTGCTTATGTCTCCGCTTTGAGTAGAAACTGGGTGTGATGAACCATCATTAGACTTTCGTCTCTTGCTTGTCCGCGTTGGCGCTGTAGCCATGCCAGTCTCTACTTCACCGCTTCCTGGCTTGTTCTCTAAAGATGCAGCAGTATCATCGTATCCTTGAAGCCGTCTCCTTCTCTTCGCCTGTCGCTCCTCCTTTTCTGCACGCCTCCAGATGGCTGGCGGCTGAGCCTTGACTTTCAGTCTTGGCGCAAACTCTCGGAATTGGTTGACAGTCAAGGCTGCACTCTGTGTCCTCTTGTATTCGTATAGACGGGAAGTAATGGTGGAATCGGCGACCTTGACAACATAGACAACCTCACGGATGGTACGACGAAAGTTGTTCATACGAGCAGCAATGATAATACAAGCACCACACAATCCAGCGGGCTGGCGGCCTTGCACCATCCAGTCGCGATTCATGCGCTTCAAGACCTTGCAGGCATCATCAGCTACTCTATGAGAATCGTCTCCAAACTCAAGTTTCCGGCAATACTTCAACATCAAGGGCTCAATCTCCTGTACAGCCTTGCTACCAGCGAGCTGGGCAGGATCCTCCTCTTTGAGCATTTCCAAAAACTGCTTGTATGTATCACCCAAAGCCCAGACGTTTGTTTGAATCTTCTCAGCCAAGTCGATAAGCATGAGAGTGTTCTCGGGCTGCCTACGGGCTGCCATGTAGATGGAGACAGCGGCGACGTTTCTCATGCGCCGACCCTGGATGAACCTGTGGTTCATGGCGAGTTTGTACCAACTAAAAGCCTGTTCTATGACTGCCTCGCGCTGGTTGAGAGAAGCACCCAGAGCTTGAATGGCGTTCTTTCCGTTCATAGCAGCCTGCTCCCTACTCTCCATGCCACCGAGACCCCGCATGGTGCCGCCCATGGAATTGGCATGTCGCTGGTTGGCATGGATGAAGCCACCCTCGACGATGGCTGCTCCGCCCGAAGTTTCGCCAAAAGTGACTTCGGAAACAATTTGGCTCTCGTCGTGGACTTTTCCGCAGTTGTAGCACATGACGGTGCCGTCGGCGGAATTGATTAAGGGTGCCTCGCAGCAGGTGTAGGTGCGCTGGGTGGGTTTTACGGGCTGGGGCGGGCCGGCGGCTCTTCGTTTTGTTGCGGAGGACTGGTACTGGTAGGAATCGGGTTTGTTCAGGCTCGACAGGCGCGGGGCCCTGCCCGGCCTCGCGATCTGGGGCGCGGACATGGCGAGCGCAGTTCTGTGGTGGTGTGGTGCCAAACGAGCGTGGGGGGGCAGGCAGTCGAGATTTGGTCGAGGAAATGGAAAGACAGTCAAGATGGCGCGCGAATAAGACGCGGTACTGCAGGCGGGGCAGAGCGGGCGGTGATTGGTGCGATTCGGTGGGGCTCATTGCCTGTTTGGGCCACGAACGCTACACCTCGAGCTGCGAACATGCCGACTTGGATACGGACCAACGGCTACAATTTTGACGGCTTCGTCTGTGTGGATACCCAAGATGTTTCTAGGTGATAGATTGCATATTTTCTGACGTATCTTGGCGTCTCGCTAGACAGTTCAATATGCCGCCGTGCAGCGAGTGGAGGGATTGCCTTGGGGGCTACCTTGAGCACCCAGATATCGCTCATTCGCCATGCCGTACACACATACATACCCGGTACATAGCCACAGGACAAACGGCATTGATAAGCACATTTATTACCCTCACCGCCATCCAGACAGCACCTTGTCGTGTTGTCTACAGGCCTAACAACAGCCTGTCTCCTAAGGCTCCTCGGACGCGGTACCTGCAGCAACCGCCTGGGTGTCGTCCATGGCGGGCTCGGAACGCAGGTGATGACGGCACAAGCCATGATTGGCTCCTCGCCGTCTACCCGAAGCGGCCGAGCTGGGCGATGGAGCAAAAGAGGCCTGCAGTCGCCCGGCCTGCCCTGCCCTGCGCTTCCCAGCCTCCTTCTTAGGCAAGTAAAGGGGGCGCGGCTTGCGTAGGTGTGGGTGTGTCTGTGTGTGTGCGTCGTGGCCGAGTACCCAGCCAGCTATTTCATCCGCGCCCCCGTCTGTGTTGCCCTGGGTCCCCGCCCCCAGGCTCACCTCCATAGCTTTCTTTCCCTGCTGCCACCCAAACTTGCTCTGTCTTTGGAGCCCTCTTGCTTCTGTGCCATTATCCTGCCACATACCAGCACTTTTTGTTGTTTTCATAGACTAGTCCGGCGCCATGACTACCAGGAAGAGGAAGAACGACGACGAGGAGCTCGTTGCCCTCCCTAGCGACGAGAGCGACGAAGAAGAAGAGTAAGTCGATGCTTTCTTGACGTCATGCCTCTACCCACCACGTCGCAATCCGGTGGTTTTGGCTTCATTGCCATCGCCTCTATGCGCATGCTCGAATTGATGTTTTGGATTTGTACCGTTACCTTGTCTGGTCGCTGCGCATGCCTCCAAAGGCAGTCACAGCCCTGGAGTCAGCGGCAGCCGGCTCCTTCTTCCCTCCTGCAGCAATCAACTCACTCCCGCTCTGTCTCTACACTTGACACGGCTATCATGGCCCTTCTTGCCCCATTCATGGAAACAATGCCCTTTGCGCGCGCATGCGACACCTGCAGCAAGACTGACCCAACCATCCAGATACGCAGAGTCTGAAGGCTCAAACTTTGATTCAGCCGACTCGGACGAGGAAGAGCCACGTAAGTCATCCTGAGTAACCCATGGTGGTCCCTGACCCCTTCTCCGCAACTCTCGTCTTACTTTTTTTTTGTTTTTATAGCGCCAAAGAAAAAGGCCAAGCGCACTACCAAAGCCAAAAGCAAGGACGAGGACGAGGACGAGGATGAGAGCGAGGAGGAAGAGGCCGAGCTGAGCGTCGAAGAAGAACAGGATGCTGCTTCTGACGAGGTCGACGATGAAGACGACGATGATGAAGACGACAAGAAGAAAGCAAAGGACGCCAAGCCTGCTGGTGCTGAGAAAGACCGCAAAGTCAAGAAGACCGGCAAGGACGAGCCTGTACCCGTAGTTGACGATGACGACGAAGAGTAAAGCAACCGTTCATCTTGTAAACGGCAAATGACATGTGCAATTCCACAAACTCGTTTCTACCATTCATCCACTTTGCTTGCACAAACATTGCCTTGAATTTCTTTGACATTCACCATTAAAGTCGTATCTAGGCCCAGAACTACCTAAAGTCTCGAGGTCGAGCCCAATCTATACCCACCTCTGGTACCTCTTGGTCTTCTGGAACGCCTGCTTGAACTCGGCATACCTCTCCGACCGCTTCTGCGTAGCCGTCGCGTTCCTCGGCGGGATGCTGTCCCACGAGACGGCGTACTTGGCAGTCATATGCGCGATAGCCCTTGTGAACTCGATCCACGCCTCGAGGTTCAAGTTGTTGACGGTATCGCCATCCTCGTGGTAGTTGACGTCGTAAGGAACGCCAGCACCTCCGCCAAACATGGCCGCCTCCTCTTCCGTCTTGATGCCTTCGGCACCACCGGCAATGCCACCAGAAGCAATGCCAGCCTCGAGGAACGGACCGTAATCTGATCGGCCGTCGAATTCAATCTCCGTGTGGTTGAGACCAATGCTGTCAAAGTAGGCGGCGAACTCGTGTTCGGCCTCGGCTGAGCCAACCGGTCCAGTTAGGTTGTATGCCGAGCCATCGCCATCGTAGATTTGGTAGGCAAAGTTGGGCGATGCCATCATGTCAAAGTCGAGCAAAAGACGGATCTTGTCCTTCTCGGCTTGGGGCAGCTCGTGCACGTAGTACTCGGCTCCGAGGAGACCGGCTTCCTCTGCTGTCCACCAGCTGAAGCGCACGGCGTTGTTGACAGTAAAGTTGGTCAGTTGAATAGCAATTTCGAGAATGGAAATAGTGCCCGATCCATTGTCGTTGATTCCTGGGCCAGCAGTGACCGAGTCAGAATGGCCGCTGACGTGGATCACGTTGTCGTGGTCGCCAGCCTTTGTCTCAGCAATCACGTTGCGAGTGTTAAACACTTTGGCGTTTGTCGACATGTCGATGTTGATCTTGACACCGGCGTTGAGCTGCGCAAGAAGCGCTTCTCCTTGGCCCATGGTGATACCGGCTACAGGGACAAACTTGCCCTTGGGATACAGGACTTGGAGCGAGTAACCCTCAAGAGTACCCTCAGCATTGTTCCATGCCACTACGCCCGAGGCTCCCTTGGCAGCAGCAATCTGCACCTTTTCGCCGTACGAGCATGTACCACGCTTAATCAAAGCCACGGAGCCCTCGAGAGATTCTGGAAAATCCGCCTTTTCAAAGTTAGTCTTGCTCCTTCATATCTTCTTTGGGTATATAGTCGAAAACATGAACCTACCTCTTCACAGCCCAAGTTGGGAATAGCAACCAGCGGTCCAGTAACATTGCCGCCCGGAGCCAGAGTTACTGCAAAAGCCTCAATGGTCTTGTTGTTTGCACGGAGCGTGGCAGTGGTTCCGATTGAGAGAGGCACATCTTGAGTGTACACGTCGTAGTAGTCGGGGAATGCCTCGAGCTGGCCCTTGATGTATTCCACAGTATCCTCGTGGCCCTGGCTTCCAATCACACGGTTCTTTCCCGGTGTGTTGTATGCAATCTCCTGAAGGATCTCGGCCTTGGCATACAAGTTGTCAATGTCAATCGTGTCGCGGAGTGATTGCTGTAATTCGTGTTAGAGCAACTTGGAAAATGGATGTATGTATGCTCGTACTGAATCAACCAGCGTCTTGTTAGTGCGAGGATGAAGGGCTGCTGCTTCAACCGCCGCAGCGCATGCAGCAAGTGCTGCGATTGACTTTAGATAGGCCATTGCAACTATTGCCTGCTTATTGCAAAGGGAGTATCGTTTCTAAACTTGCAGGGCATGCCGTGCAATTTATCTTATTTACTAGTTACCTAATTCCATACCACCTGCAGCTCGTAGTAGCTGCAAATGGGCCCAGAGACCGGGGATATCGCTCCTCCTAACATCACTGTATGCCTGAAATGCAGCTTACAATCAAACCCACATACAAAGCTCTTTGCGACCTGCTACATCCAGCCAAGTGGGCGCATCCGTACACGAGGCTGACCCTTCATCCACCAATAGCCGCTGTGCGTGGGCCCAGTAAACAAGCACACGAGCCGTGTCAAGACGTGATAAGAGGCCTTGGTAAGCTTCAACTCGGCGGGCTGCCAAGCTTGCCAAGTGCCGCTTGATGGTTGTGCTGGTGGCAATATGGGGCTGATTCATGGCTGGAAGACGTATTGCAGCATCTTAGCGCGTGTGGGGTGCTGGTGCTGGGGCTGGAGCTGTTTTTTCATCGCCGTGCGTGCTACAGGTGCAATGCCAGGTTTGAGCCGATCAAGCTTTTGTGACTGACACACATCATCATGTGTACCTGAGGGCTGCCCGACGTGGATGGCGCGTCGTGCAAAGCCAGGTGCATGGCAATACTGTTCCTTGGTCCGGTTGTACGCTCCAAAAACATGCAGGGTTATTCGTGTGGAGCCCTCGCCCCTCCCAAGATCCTCTGCTATTGTCAATTTCCGCCGATAATGCCTGCACACATCGGGGATACCCTCCGATCGCAATCCTAGCACTGTGTCGTATACCTAATACTAATAGGCAATTGCGAAATCGCGAAGCCGGGCATTGGTATAGAATCCCATCTTCCTTCCGCAGAGTCTTGGTGCATACGTTGCTCAGTCGATCCGCGTGGATATGCTTCCTTTCTTTCCAGCTGCAACCACGAGCACTGGCCGCATATATAGGAATATGTCTACCGACTGGCGTTCCCTCTCTTGGTACGTCTGAGTACTGCATTAAGATCTTTGGCTTCAAGTACAGATAGCACTCCTAACTCGAAACCGGTCGGTTGCCGATGAAACTGACTGGCCCTTGGAAATTTGCAATACCATACGATTCCAGCTCGATCGAGAAGAAAGGAAAACGTGATTTCTTTTGGACAGCTGTTTGATCAATGAAATGCCGCTAATTGAGTTCATCAGCTACTGTTTCTACGTCATTAATACTGCATTTGGTGGCCGTGTCGCTGTGGGTCGTATTATGGTGGTGTTGCCTATCTCATCCATCAGAGTCACTTCCACCCTCCCAAAGGGCTTCCGAGAAGGGTGTTGTCCAGGAGCAATCAGAGCTGTTGTCTGGGCTGAATTACGACGCATCCAAGATGGTTCTTGTGAATAGGTGCATGGTGTGATCTTATTATATCGTGCCATGTGAGTACTGTTTCTCCACCTTTGCGAGCTTGCGTTGGGATCATAACACTACTCTTTTTTTCGCTACTCCTTTGAAGTAGACATTGATTCAAAGTGCTCGAATAGGGTTTTGTTCAAGATCCCATGGATATCTTGAGATACACGCGATGATATGACTAGACAAATTACTAAAGATCAGTACTGAGAGAATCAATGACCAGTGGAAAAGGACTCACTATAGTATTCAAGACAGGGTTGAAGTTTCAACAACAATCATCTGAACTAGCTCGAAGTTGTTCTTGGCTCTGATGGCAGAGCAAGAATGGCTTCAATTCATGAAGGCATGTTGTATTGACTAGAAGGCACTGCCAGTGCACTCTCGGGGAGTTAACACACAGTTTTTTCCGAGAAAGAAAATGAATCCTGGCTAATAAACTGTCAGATACAATGAAGCAAAGCAAGAGGTGACATTGTCGAACTGGGTTACCAAGGTACTTGCGCTAAACCGCTTTTGTGTACAGTTTGGACGTTTGGACGATATAGGCAAGACCGAACCAAAGAAAAAGGGTAGAGTCTTTAGACATGCAGCAAAGATTGCCTAGAAGATATATGTTCGAGTCAAAGATGGCAATGTACCACTCAATGAGCTTCATCTGCCCATCTTCCTTCTTTCCCTCACACCAACTGCGATGAATCATTCGCAGCAAATACCACCACCGCCATACCCACAACTCACAGTCCTACTACATACTCGTGTACTTAGCATCTAAACATGCTCTGATAACGACTGAAGTTACTGCGGAGCCCGGCAGATACTCAAGCACGGTCCCTAGACCCTCACTATCAGATCAGTAGCCACCTATCAGATCTCTAGCTCACCATTACACGTGTGCCATTACCATGGGTACACGCAATCTCCCCCGCTTTCCAAGACCCGGGCTCCTGGAAATATATTGGATAGATCGGTGAGCTTATCGCAAGCAGAGAACTTTTTCCTAGTGTCGGTTGCGTATAGAGATGGCGTCCATGTCAACGTCAGGGGCCTGCGAATAGCCATGACTTCTACGGTTGGGCGAAACTGTCATCAAACTGTCATGCTGGGTACCCTAACCTAGCTGAGCCTGACTGTAGGGGTGATGTAGGGTTGATTGGTTGGCTTGAGGACTAGGTTCAAAGGTCATCACATGGGTAGATTAAGGGTCTGTTTAGTTATTAACTACATGTTCCGCTCCGAGAATAGATCCGTCCCGAGATCGAGTGAACGGCGAACTACATTTGAAGTAGCTTGGCTTAATCAAAATATATCCGTAGTGCCACTTTGGTGACAGGCCTGAACATGGCTTCGTGGCTGACAAGGGCACGTTTGAGAAGTCATGATTGACTGGACTCAAGTCATCATTCAAAGATGGATTTGTAGCTCACGGGAAATATTTGCGTAATTAATTATTTCAAGATAGGGGTCATAGCATTTAGTCTAACCCAGTGACTATTTAATATCGTACCAAGGGACATGACTGATGACATATCAACACTTTACTACCATCCACATCATGCCTCGGTCTCCTGAGCAAACGCTGTTTACTCGTCGTCTGTGGCGTCGATGACAGTCTTTGACCATTGGCGAGCAGGAACCTTGCGGTGGAACAGAATGTCGATTTCGCGGTAGGATCGGTCCTTCATCTCAGGCAGGAAGAAGTATGCGATGACGAAGCAGAAGAAGCCAGTGCCACCCCAGACGTAACCGCACTTGCCACCAAGGTTTGCTTCCTGTACTGAGTTAGTGGCTATTCATGCAAAGCTCAAAATGGGTCAAATCTTACATCAGGGTTAAGCATGTAGCTGGAAAGGAAAATGCAAGGAATGTTGACTGCATAGTAGCAACCACGTCCAATACCAGTTGTCAGGGGTCGAAGACGAATAGCAGATGTTTCACCGATGATGACCCAAGAAGCAGGCGCAGGTCCCAGGGTGAAGAGAACGGAGACAATGAGACCAAGGGAGGCTTGTGCGAGAGAAGCCGCTTTGGCAATAGCCTCAGTTGGCGTGCTAACGGAGCCTGCAATACCCAGGGCAATGAGGAAGCCGACGTTGATGAGAGATCCCCATACGTAGATGGTACGACGACCGAGATACGAGGTCAGAATCCAAGACAGCATGACAAAGATCATCTGGAGAGCGGATGTGATCAGACCGAGGGCAAACGCAGTGTCGGTGCTCATGCCAGCCTCTGTGAAGGGATTAGCATCATCGCTCAAAATTCTCGGGATCGTGATAATCAAAACTTACGCTCAAAGAAGTATACGGCCTGGTTGGCGATGAGATTACCAGTAAGGTTCTGTGCTGCGTAAACACCGCACACAATGAGGGTTCGGTAGCGGTCGACGCCTCGGAAGAGCTCGAAATAGCTGGGATCCTTGACAGACTTCTCAAGATCAATGGTACGGCGCATCATAGCAACGGCCTCCTTCAGGTTGAGCTTCGTCTTGCGTCCCAAGCGTCCGACTGCCTTCTCGGCCTCCTCATAACGTCCCTTTCGGGTCAACCACCATGGAGACTCCGGAGCCAAGTAGATGAGAATGGCAAGAGGGGTGGGGAACATCCATTGGAGTGCAATAGGGATTCTGGGGCTCGGTTAGTTGAAGTTGTCGATACAAAGTATTCAAATACATACCTGTATGCTTTTGCACTGTCCATTGTGTTGTAATGATAGGTGACACCAGTGACGATGATGGAACCAACAGCCCAGAACATTTGCAACATCTGAGTAGCAGGAGCTCGCAGCTGAATTGGCGTAATCTCACTGCAGTACGCGGGAGAGTTGGCGATGAAGACGCCCCATGGGATACCCTCGAGGAGCTGGGCGACGAACATGACGGGAAGCGAGTTGGCGAAGTAGAAGATGAAGATGAAGGCGTTCAACACCATGAGTGCGGAAATAGTCGCCCAGCGATATCCAATGCGGCTGGTAAGGGGACCAGCCAGGCAGACACCGATGATTGCACCTACTGGTCCACCCATTTGGAGAGCAGACTGCCAGCTGGCTACGATGATCTTCTTGTCGTCGACAGGGCTGTATCTACCATAGGCATTGGCAAACGCGGGAAGGGCGATGAAGTTTCCCATCAAGAAAACACAGTAGGATTCCATAATCTACATATTATGTTAGCTGGATTTCTCTCTCTTTTTTTTGGACATATCGACTGGGTGGGGGGAAGAGGCGACTGACAATAGTGCAAGACATGACAAAGGCCCAAAAGGCAGCCATGGGGTATTCCTTGACCGCCTGTGGCACGGTCATGTTGTGCTCAGCATTTTCAGCCTCGATAGCAGCAGCCTTGTTCTGGGCAGCCGTCGACTTCTCGTCGATTTCGAGGTTCGACATGGCCTTCTCGATCTGCGTGTCGGTGCCATAGGCCTTGTTATCGATTTGATCACCCATGCTTGCAAATGTGAACCGACACAACTAGAGTGTGTGGTATAAGAAAGGCTGGCAGGAAATGGGAAGCAAAAGAGGATGATCACTGCGATGGTAGTACTTTTAAATAAAGAGCCCAAGAGCAAGGGCCCCAACTGTCCCGCAATCAGACAGGCCGGCATCTGGGGTCAGTAGTTTCCTGACAAGATTCCATCAATCAGATCGAAGTGGCTATCAAACTGGACCAACGCCAACGCCCACCCGCGTGTGATTTGAATCTGACAAGCTTATTCGTATGCCGTTGCAACTTGGCAATGCTTTGGTTAGCCGCCTTCAACCCACCGGGAGAGTCCAGATGTAGGTTGGCGGCCTGACGTTAGCTGATTCCTCGAGGCCTTAAGCCGTCGTGTTGGCCCAGAGCCGCCTATCACAGCCCCGGTCGCGGAGCCCCAGCCAACGCTACCCACGCTACCCCATCCCCGCACCACGACTGAATTTATCCGGCCCCGCTGAAGCTTGTTTCGCAGGGGTTTCCCACACTCTCTCCCCGGACCTTCTTCTCCTCCAGCAGTAGACCGATTTCTATACCGCGCATGACCCCGCCGGCCAGCACTGACGGGCCCACCGTAGCCCAGGTAATTACCGCTACAAAAGACTCCTGTGCTCGCCGCCATGGACACAGAGAAATTCTGCTCTAAGTACATGTACCTTCATTCCATCGCACATGGCATTACCCCATCATTTGTCGTCGGGTTTGATAGTACGCCACCTAAAGCCACCCTAGCTCGTAACGGAATACACCAAGCTGTTCTTCGTAGTGCGTCCGCCTGCGCCGGTAGCCATCCATTATTCGGGACGGTAGCGATCCATTATCCCGGACGGAACAGGTGCCGCCAACGCCTATATTCAAATCCTCGGTGTAATGTTCCGCGAAGTGAATCAACATGACAGGCGGCCCGTTCACCCTCGCCCGTCCACCACCGTCTGCCAACAGCCTAGGAGCTGTGGCTGCGAACGAGCACCGGTGTACCAGGTTTGGCTTTCGATATTATGCAAAACTATTCGCTTCTAGACTTGCATCCTTCGATCATGTGGTGCCGTGTTGATGCATTCTCTATCTCAGGCGCCGCGCTTACCGTTCCATTTGCTAGTCTCCTGTACTAACATGCACACTTTACTGCAATCAGCTTCTCTCCCGATGGCCTGGTAAGAGCCAGTAGTCTGGGCCTCCAAGTCGTAAATACGCATATGCATAGCTGTATCCAGACCAACAGGCGATCTCTCCACATCTCCACAACCCAACTTCCCCATTGGCATTTACTAGTTCTCATGATAGACTTGTTGTGATCAGCAGGGTCAAGTTCCTCGTTTCATGGGTCCACTTTGCTCATTCCACATGCAAGTTATTCGTGTTAACCATAGCCAATTGTCTCTCAACACTCGCCACAATCATGCGGAAAATATGCCACGCATATCAGGCCGAACACATTAGTGGCTGCCCATTTTCTCAATCAGCAACGCCCTCGGACATGCAAGAGCCGGACTGCCGATTCACCCAATACCCGTACAGCCATGTATGCGGCACCACCCCAGAGAAGCCCTGAACACTGCACAGAGGGCCGGAGATGCATATTTATCCAAAGCACTAATAACCCTCTACAACCCCGCACAATCAGCACAAGCAGCTCGCATGGGAAAAGCATATACCTCGACATAATACTACGCCAAGAGATCTCGGACATGTATGTAAGGGATACACCGCAAGCCAAAAAGAGTTGGAAGCAGAAAGCCTCGCACGAAGCAGGTGCCGCCTGCCTCTCAGAATCTTGAACTTAAGAAGTAAATTCCAGTCTGCATTCTCGCAGAGTTGTCTGGAAGACCTGGACGCTGTCTAATCTTTTTATGTTCTCCAGTAGCTGACTTGCTTCGCCATCCTGTGCGCCGGGAGCCCAAAATACCATATATCCTCGTTTCGATCATATCGTGACATTTCTCAACCGTTTCTTCGCAATCTGTTTTCTTCTTCTCCTTCTTTTTTTCCCCTTTATTTGACAGCGCTCCACACCTTTTCCAGATATCCACTCTGTTGAGCCAGGCGGTTCAACGAGTCATCCGCCTCACCCATTGCGCGGACGAAGCCAGCGAGGGCAAATGACTTGTTGTCTCCGGGGATTGCGCGACCTTCGGCTGTAACATTGGCAATGGCGATCTGGACAGAGGCATGATCCTTGGGGCGGATGATACGGTTGGTGGCGTCGCACTTGCGTGGGATGTAGCTGCGGAAATATCAGTTACTTATGTCCAGTCTTGGTTATTCACAAGGCCAAGGATTATTTACAGGTCTACGAGTTCTCCGCGTTCGTTCTCCATTGTGGCAAAGATTTGCGTTTTTTTTGGTCGGCTTTAGGACAGTGTCAGCGACAACGACAAACTTGCGACTGTTAATACTCACGTAAAATGTACAGGAAACGTGTAAATGGTTGGAATTTCGCTCTCGACGTATTTTTCGATCACCACGTGCGAATCGATAAGCGATGTGGTCTGTGCATTATCATATCCACATTGTCCTACACATATGGTAGCTGCTGGCAAGAGGATGGACATATAAGCAATACGGTGCTCGATAATTGATAGGAGTTATCGGACTTGCAAGCCGCAGGAAATTTTGGTTGGCTATTCTCGCACAACCGTGGTATACAATCTTTTTGGGCACATTACAAGATCGTCTCATATCCATGTCAACTTCACTGTGAACAACATCAAGACCTCTTGCAATGGCAGATCATCATCATCCGAAATTTCTTTTATCTAAAATATCACAGATGATTATATTAATCCCTTTGTTGTCAGATTTAAGGTACATGCATATCTTGGAAACATAGCCGGTAGCAATACGGGGCATTGTACCGTTCGTTAATTTCTTGCTACTTTTTAGTCAACAACTGCTGACACAGGACCCCTATAAATATGTTATTTCACCAAGTCCTTTCCTACATCTGGCTCCTGCTGGTACTAACTCATCTGGCTTCTTCCTTCTGATGCATTGTGAACTGGCTGTCGCCGTACGCACACGACCAACATCGACCGTATTCCTTCCAACTACGCAGCCGTGTGTGTGTCACTTCTTGATATGGTGCGTAATGGCGTCGCCCGCCACATGAGCACACAAACGAATCAGAAGGCCAAATTTACGTTGCTAGTTTCCAGAGGATGGATGTTGAAGTGTTTGGATCCAAGGGACAAAGCCATTCATCGACTTCACTGCGAGATGTAAGCTGATTATGGTTGAAGTAGTCTTTTCCCCCCCCCGAGAGTAGCAGTATCTTTTCAGCAATAAATCAGCGTAGCTCCTTGAATAGTCTCCGCTTGCCATGACACAACCCGACTTCTAATCGGTTGAGAAAAAGTCTAGTTTGTTTCAAACTAATGTCATCAACATCAGTTGCACCCAAATTGTGTCTTGATTGACTACTCTTTTTTTTATTCTTTTTTTTTCTGCGTCTAATAATATATCATATATTCTCAATCTTCTGCGTGTTTCCTTCCACAGCCACAGGGTTTGTAGCAACGCTCGGTAACAAATGTCACCACTCGTTGTCATACTAAGTACCCAGCACAATGACAGCAAACGCAGTATGGAAACCCCCAGGATGCGCTGATAAATTCACAACGAGAATATACAAATTCATTCCATCTAGCAAGATTCAGCTAGATTTCCTAGCAAGTAGATGCGCAGGCAATTTTGACTGCGATTGGAGTGTGGGAGAGGAAGGCGGTGGGGGAGGAGATAGATGTGTATAAGAAGATGATGCTCGGTGGGTAAAGGAAAGTCTCGTTTTCTTCACACTTTTGTGATGGGTTTGAACTGTGTTCTTGCAATGCAGAAATACGAGTTATGGCCGTCTGTGTTTTTACCCTTTGAAGGAAAAGTAATCATCATATGCTTTGGTAGGCCATATCCAAAGTGAAGCTGAAATATGAGTCTCAGTGTTGCATTCCTTGAGTGCGGTCGAGCTTACGCAAAGCTTTTGCAAGTGGTTTTCCAAGACATCTATACCGCCTTTTTGACTCGGTGTATCTCTGGTATTCTCCACAAGTATAGCGTACGGAGACAATCGTGTGGATATACAAGCAAACCGCAGTATTTAGCAGTTCTGAGCTACGACTCCAATCAAATGCCAGTCGATCTGCTGACCACGTCGTACTTGTCATAAATCTCAACCAGTGCGTAAGGTGCTCAAAACGCAAACAATTGACCAGTTTGCGGCTATACGGTAAGTTTTTGAGTCATGTCTCTCACTTACAGGCTGCAATAGCGAAGACATTATTGGCGAATGCTCAGAGCAAACGACTAACAGTACCACGGCACAAACGGGTGAAAACCGCAAGGGCAAGCCTGTCTATCGCCTACTTAAACACAAACTCTACTACACTAACAATCCCCCGCTACACTCAAACTTCAAGCTTAACAAACTCTACACTCAACTATGCAACACACCAACGACTGCTACCGCTGCATCGGCAAAGGCTTGTGCGGTAGTGTCTGGACTTTCGAAGGCACTACTCACTAAACCGCTATCAAGCGCGAAGATGGCGGACCCGGCCGCTCCGTCACAAACGACTACAACATGCACATCAAAGTAGTTGAGAGCGCACAGCACCACCCGCCCTCAAATCCCCTCTGCATACCGCAATGCCACCGTCTAATCCAAGCCACGGACCCCTGGTGGCACTCAAACCTACCCCAATTCCCTCCAGGTTACTCAGCATACAGAACCCTACAATCCGAGCGCATCCCCAAAGTACCCCGGTCCATCAGCAACAAAATTATCGAGCTCTTCTGCGCAGGCAACACGCCGCTATGCGACTTTGTCAAAATAAACCCAGACGACGACGCATGCCTGATTCGACCGTACCTGGGTAGCCGGCGCCGCCACAGGCAAGAAGGCGTTAGTCAATCGCTGTTCCAACGCTTCAGTCTGCGCAATGTACCGCTGTATGTTGATCAGATGGAGGTGCTGGGGCTGGATGTCAAGGCGTATGCTGGTGCCATGGCGGAAGCGCTTGCGTTGATGCACTGGGGTGCGAGGATTGATGCGAATGATGTTGAGTTTGTGCTGGCTCCTCCGCGCGCAAACCATACGCCTACCTTTGAGTCGGACTACTTGACCGTTCATTGCATGTGGATTCTCGACTTTGATTGCTGTCGTCCGATCTGGGTTGACGAAACGGGCGTGGAGCAGGCTTGCGCTGCCTTCTACAAGAACGATCCTTTCTATCCCAGGCCGGGGACTGGAGAGGCGGCTGATGAGGAGCTGTGGGTGCTGTTCAAGCAGAGGTTCCTGGAATCTAGTCAGAGGATCATGGGGGAAGCGAATCATGACAAGTGGTTCCTTGCTGATAAGTTGGTGGAGAGGATTGAAGAGGAGGGTCGGTCGAGGAGGAAGGATAAGGAGGCGGGAACTTCTTAGGTCACATGTTGGTGATCACCTCAAGGTTACCCTCATACCTTGTGTATACTGGCAGTCAAGCAGGTGTAGTGCTCATGATTTCTGTGTATTTTCTTAGCACTTGCACAAGATGCATTTCCTTGGCAAACGAGGAGACGGTTGCACGCAAAGTGGACCGATTGCGTTCCGGAAATTCCCTATCCAAGCCGAGGATCGGGCCGAATGTGCGGTCACATACAGAACACAATGTGTGGAGTAGTATATATGTACGTCGTAAGAAATGGTAAGATGTGCGAATGACGTGGTGTTTGCGGGAGCACACGGATGCAGGGACTGAGAATTAGGGTCCACTTGATGAATAATGTTAATTGCAGTGATGACAGCTTGCTGTATCCGAATCAAATATAGCCTTACTCATAAACCGTTTCGTACATGTGACACCCCAACTCCATTTACACCAAAGAAGCCATTTCAGTTAATCATTGTCCGTGGTTCAGTTTCTCAACGCGCGCAGCCTCTCGGTAAAAGCCTCCTCTTCCTGTTCGGTAGGACCCACCTTGGTCTTGGCCGGCGTGGCTTCTTGCAGGTCTTGTTGTAGGTCAACGCCTGCCTTGTCTGCTGCCTGGGCCATAAGGCGGTCGACGTCTTCCTGTGGGGTGCCAACAGCCGTGGCAGACGAGGTAATGTCCTGATAGAGTTCGGTAGCGGAGTCTACATTCTCGAATTGTTTCTCAAAATCGACCATGACTGCAGCAATCTATGGTAGGGTCAGCATAGGCGTGGGGAGTCTCGGGTGTGACTGTAGTGACTACATACGCGTTCAGGACTCATCGACTTCATGGCCACGTCCAGGCTCCGGTTGACCTTCATCATGTTGCCAGTGATTTGGCGCATAGTGACTGCTGTTTGTACACGGCCAGCGACGGCATCGACGCGGGAGGCGAGCTGCAGGAGGTTGAGCTTCTCATTCTGTTTGCGGATGGCGTTTCCGGCGTAGATGCGTGCAATGTCGTTGTGGCCCTGCTTCATAGCCTGGCAAGCGCGTCAGTATGTTGCTGGCTAGGAGCAAGACTTGTTGTGCGCGCACACCTTCTCCAGCTTAGTCTTCTCAGCCTGCTCTTCCTTGCCGGCTTTGAGGGCCTGCCGGTTCAGTGACTTGGCTGTGAACTAGTTGGTGTCAGTCGGCTGACTACTAGTAGGGACAGGCGGCCGATGCCCACCTTGAGATTGAAAAGCGCATTCTCGAGACCCGACATAGTGTGTAGTTGGAGTGTAACAGTTGGTAGGGGCGGCGTGGGTTGGAGTAGGGCTTGGGCAGAAGGGTAGGTGTAGGTGGGTTGCCGCTACTGGCCAGGGCTACGCGGGGTTTGGTGGCCCACGCGCCCCGACGTCATTGGTCGCGAAAGGGTCGCGCGAATGCTCGTCCTGTTGCAGAGTACGAGTCGACGCGCATTTAAGAGAGCAGTTGGCAGATGGATGTACAGGTCAAAATCATGGTGAATTTGTCATGGTGGTCCCTGGGCTGCGGTGCAGCCCGCTCGACACCGAATCGCACCGGAAAACGCCTAGCCTTATGCATTTGAAAAATGGTGGCCTGCATACGCTGAAAGCCTACCTGGTCTACCCCAAACGCCATGCCCGCATCCCTCGATATCCGCCCAAACGCCATGCAACCGAGTCCGTTATTCGTACAAGTGATGCGTCAGATTAAGCAGCTGATTACTACGAGGGTGCGTTGAATTTGCTCGTAGCATTCTTGAAAAGCTCCTCCTGGGCAGCAATGAGCTGCTCCTCGGTCATGCCACTCTGCTCAATCTTTGTCTGCTTCTTTTCGCGGTTCTACCCCATATTAGTTCCGACGATGCAGGTGTATGTGTGTGTATTTGGCGAGCGCGTACCTGTTGCTGCTTCTTATAATCCTGTGCAACGTCGAGGATGGCGGGCACGTAGTCGCCAAAGTCGAGCTCCTCGAGAGCAGCCTTGACATGCTCGCAGGCTATGGTCTTCTTGGCGTCCTTTTCGGCGATTTCGTTGGCCTCGGACGAGATGAGGGTGATGAACTCGACGCAGCACTCAATAAGCAGGTCTCGCGAGTCCTTAGCAAAGGTCATGCCTGGCTCGCTGGCGAGGATGTCTTGGACAATCTTTTGCACCGTCGCTGTCGGGCGCGTTAGTGATGCGGTTAGGCGAAGCGGGTGCATGTCAGGAGCACTCACCCTTTGGCAACGACAGATCGTCGTTGCCGCCAAACTCGCGGTCGGACATGATGGTCAAGTGGGCAGTGTGCTATTGTCTGCTGTGGCGTTGAGCTCGTGGGCCTGCGCGCGCCCGGGTGCCGTGCAGCTCGACTTAAGAAATGCAATACGCCTGCACGGGCCGGCTGTTTGGCCGACGGCGTGGATGGCTATGACGCTGATTGGCGGGTGTGCGGGCTGTCAGCAGCCAGTGTGCTCACCACATAATTACTAGTAGTACATGGTTAGTACTACATACTACTACATACATACACACACGGGGGAGAGGGAGTCACACACACATAAGGTCAACCATGGGTGGCAGTGAGGGCGTTTACGAGTCAGGGCTCACGTGAAGCTGCCGATTGCCGGATGCAAATGGGCTACACCGGTCCCATGGTCGGCTGTCTATCAGAGACTACCTATGGCACTATCGCTGTCGCTATCGGGCGGCACATGAGGGCTTCGGGCTGCGGACTGCGGACTGCGTCTTTTCTTCAAACAACAGGCTGGGCGCTTGACGCAGCGGCTGGCTTGAGCAGAAAATGTAAGGGTATTCGGGCTCCACCAGACACGGGCAGCTGGAGGCGGTGATTGGCAGTGAATCGCTTTGCTCCGAGATCTTAGCCAGGGACTGCAATCTGCTGCCGGCCGTGAAGGCGCACTGCGGTGGAGAGACGACGTCAGCGCACGGCAGCTTGCTTGGCCCACACACCCCCCAACGGGTCAACGACGGGCGTGTCATGGCCCTACGTAGACGGCAACGGGGGCGTCGCTGGTAGTAGTGTGCAGTACTGGTGCGGTTGCTGTTACTTGGTTGCTGTTGCTTAGTTGCTGCTACCTCTAACACACCTAGTGAGATGATTTGGCTCCAGCTTGCGCGCCTCCCTCGGCGACCGACAGTGCAAGTGGGTGAGGTGAGTGACTGATGACAGCACTGGGGCGGTGGGTGGCGGTCAAAGGGCCGACGACAAGCGGCAGGCGTTGCGGCAGTGGTGCAGAGGTGCAGAGGTGCAGAGGCTCGTGGCCAAGGCTCCGCCACCAGCGCCCCGAGTGAATGCATAGCAGCGGTGCTCTCGCTCTGGCTAGAAGGGACGAGCACAAGTAGGAGTAGTGTAGCATATCAAATCTAGCAGGCCTCCCTAGTTGACCGGTCTGGTAACGTGCCCACGGTGAACTGAACAATGGGTTGGTGTCAATAACGAGCGCAAAGACTTGCCTATCTCTTCTGCGTTCCACCCATTCCCTTGCTATCGATTCCTCCGCTGCTCGTCTGCAATCCGCAATCTGCAATCGCCTGCAATCTGCAGCGCCCTCTGACGCTGCTGCTGCTATCAATCGCCCATCTGCATCGCTGCTCCCGCACGCTAATAACTCACCACTCTGACACGGCCGTGTCGATGCTGCAGCCTGTCTCCTGCCAACTGTACCCGAACCCACTCCCCAGGCTCTTCCAAGGCACACTCACAGCACACGCACACACGCTCCCATCTCCCCAACCCTACCCGCGCCTTACACACCGCCGCGTGGCTCGAGCCTGCACAAACTCGGACTGCTTGCCCCGTTAAAGACGTCCTAGAGCAGAGTTTTCGCACAGTCGTTGCAACGCGCTTGTTTAGGGCCAAGGCCGCTCGGAGCAGCGAGCCAGGTTCCAATTGATTATTATGACTTCACGCCCGCCTGCGGACCCGGCGCCCACTTCGCTCTCAGCGTCCCCGGCCAGCGATACCTTCAGCAGCAGCCCCTCTCGCGCCAGCCTCCGTGACAACTCCTCCTACTCCTCCGCAGCCACCATCACCCCTTCAACTACCGCCTCCAAGATCCGCCCAAAGAGCCCAGCTGTAGATGCCCTTTCGCACCGTCCCGGACTAGTCTCGCGCACCTCCGACTCTTCCACAAAGACCATCCAGCCCCGCCATCACATCCGCAACAAGTCGAGCAGTCTTGTCCCGACACTCTCCACCCTCAACGTCGGCACTGCACCCTCGACCCGCCAACCACCCACCATGGCCTCCCACGCCGGCACCACGTCCTCTGGCGCTGCCGACCTGCTTAGGCAGGCAATGACACGGTAAGCACACCCTTGTTTGCCCTTTTTTTTCCATCTCGCCCTCGTCGTCGCCGTGCTGGTGGGTGGGTGTGCAGCCTTGGGCCGCCACCCCAGAGCTGTCCCCGTCGCTTAGCAAGACCTAGCATCTGAGCTGGTCATATGCAGCTGAGCAACGTCCCCGTCCAACGTTGCACACTATCTCTTCGCCATCGGCCCAGCGACTCGTGGCCATATTCGCCGCTCTCACACCACCATGTTGTTCCCACCCCGACACGCACTCACCGCCCTTTAACTTGATGCGACATCATGTCGTCTTCTCCATTGCTGACTCACCACAGAGCAACAAACGAAAATAATGACGACGGACACGACCAGATCGGCTCCACCAGCTCCACGCCACCCGGTGCCACGACACCCAAGCCCGATCCTACGGACAAACGACTGCCGGGTATTCTACATAGTTACTTTGGTCAGGTTCGTGATTCTCTTATGCCCTCGCGGAAGTCATTGTCAGCGGCAAGCCCCTCCCCCGCACCCGTCACTTCTTCTGCACAGAACCATCTCGAGCCTGCACCGTCGGAACCCCAAGAAAAAGAGCAAAAAGAGTCATCTACTCAACCCAAAATGCTGCCTAGCCCCACCCCTAGTGCCTCTTCCCGAACTCCCTCAGCCTCACAGTTGGCTGGTGAAACGGAGAAGCTAACGCAAGGCGACTTTGCGCCGTTGCAACAGGCTACCCCTCCTCAGACTCCCCGTACACGCTCGCAAGAAACCAAGCCACAGCCTTCGAACCTGTCTCGCACTTCCAATGCGTCAGACCAGTCCAAGGAAAGCAAGACGGCTCCCGTCGTTGCCCCAAAAGGCAAGCTCGCAGTCACAATCTCTGAAGGAAGGGGTCTTGTTCCCAGTGTAGATCCCTATGTTGTCTGCCAATTCCAATGGGCCGAGTACATCTCAGATGGCCCCAGGCACGATGACTCGAAGAAGGGCCGCCCACCCATGCAGATGAAGCGAACAGAGAGCCAAATGAACCACCCAATGGCTATCCCAATGAAGAGCCGACAGAGCAGCAACAGTGGTCATAGCTCAGACCCCAGGGACAATGGCTCTCTCGAGGAAGTCACCGCCCCCAAGTGGGAACATGAAGCAATTTTGTAAGTGGCGACATTTTCACTTTTGTAGATTTCGAGCCTAACACTTTCAAGTGATGTTGTTGGAGACCATGCGGAGGTCGACGTCTCAGTCTACGATCGCGCCAACGGCGAGGCTTTCCTTGGCCATGTTCGCTTCTGCCCAAACCTTGTTGAATATAACGAGCCCTACGATGGCTGGTTCCCACTGGAGCCTCGAGAAGGCGAAGGTGGTGTTGTTACTGGAGAAATCCATTTGAAACTCAATTTCCAGAAGGTCGAAAAGAAGCACTACGGCCCAGAAGATTTCGAAATCCTCAAGCTCATTGGAAAGGGTACCTTTGGCCAGGTCTTCCAAGTCCGCAAGCGAGACACTCGCCGAATTTACGCAATGAAGGTCCTCTCAAAGAAGGTTATTGTACAGAAGAAGGAGGTGGCACACACACTTGGAGAACGCAACATCCTTGTCCGGACAGCTATGGCCGATTCGGCCTTCATTGTCGGTCTCAAATTCTCTTTCCAGACTCCTTCAGATCTGTACTTTGTAACCGACTACATGTCTGGAGGTGAGCTCTTCTGGCATCTCCAGAGAGAAGGTCGTTTCCAGGAAGCACGTGCCAAGTTCTACATTGCAGAGCTCATCCTCGCACTGCAACATCTCCACGAACACAACATTGTGTACCGAGACCTCAAGCCTGAGAACATCCTTTTGGATGCAAACGGTCATATCGCACTCTGCGATTTTGGTCTGTCCAAGGCCAACCTCACCGAGAACGCCACGACCAACACATTCTGCGGTACTACCGAATACCTTGCTCCCGAGGTCCTCTTGGATGAGCACGGTTACACTAAAATGGTTGACTTCTGGTCTCTCGGTGTGCTAGTTTTCGAAATGTGTTGTGGCTGGAGTCCATTCTACGCAGAAGACACCCAGCAAATGTACAAGAACATTGCTTTCGGAAAAGTCAGGTTCCCTCGCGACGCCCTCAGCACAGAAGGTAGGAATTTCGTCAAGGGACTTCTCAACAGGAACCCCAAGCACAGACTTGGCGCTACACGCGATGCAGAAGAGTTGAAAGATCATCCCTTCTTTGCCGATATCGACTGGGACGCTCTGGCCAAGAAAAATGTTGTGCCTCCGTTCAAGCCCAAACTCAAGGGAGAGCTTGACGTCTCCAACTTTGATCCCGAGTTCACCAACGCTCTCAACGGCGCTGGTTCCTTGAATGCACGTGCTGCCGCTCTGGCTTCAGGTGTCAACTCGGCATCCACGCCACTCTCACCGACGATGCAAGCCAACTTTGCCGGTTTTACTTTCACCGACCAGAGCACAATGGAGCAACAATTTGGCCATGATAGACACAGGAGCGAAGGTATGGAACGTATGGATGAAGATGATACGGATGATGTCAACTGGGACAGGCCAGCGGGGCGTGGCGATAGGATGTCTGGCGTTGTTGCCAGCAACGAGCACGATGTCTTCAACCACGGCCAATTTGATGTCTGATGAGGGGGCTCATCAGATAATGGCCTCGTCCTTTTTTCTACCGTTATGATTCTTCTACAGCACTTCCTTCCTTCCACCCGACAAAAGTTGCTGTCTTGTTCTGTTTTATTAGTTCAAGGCAGTCTTATTGCTACGAGCCTCTTCTTGGATACCCAGAGCTTTCCCTACAACAAAGACCTGAACTATTTTCAAGTCTTTGATTAATATGCTCCATCAATTGCTACTGCTGCCAACGCAACCAGTGGCTACAGAGGTACAATTTTCGTAACCTCAAACAGTGAGGGACCACTGTGTCCGCTCCATGATCCACGACGATTCCAGGGTTTTCCAGAATGAATTTTACAGGTAGTGAAAACCTACGCACTACGACACGTACACCATCTTTCGTTTTTGCCGGGGCATGGGATTTGCATTGCGCGGTTGCATTGCTTTCGCTTTTTCCGTGTGTATGGGGTTTTTGTTTGATAAATGGTATGGTGTCGAGTCCAAGGCTTTATGCGATTACCTTTTTTTGTGCTATTGCCGTGCATTAAACTCGTAAGCTTTTTTTCTCGCTTTTATGCAAGTCGTTTATATATTTTTAAACTCACAAGTCAATTCATACATATGCATCGTCATGGAACAGACAAAGGCGGGCATGGATATGGGATAGGTTGCTTATACATACATCTGTAACTAAAATGCAAGATCAATGAAAATTAGAGAATATATCTTAGCCTGTTTCTTGGTGGTATAATAATAGGATGTAATTTGCTTGCTCTTGCAAAGCCAAGCAGTTAATGCAATTTTCTCTTCGTATTGCGTTTTCTGTGCTTTACCTAGTCTCACCGGTACCGGTATTGTTGAGAGCAGATGTTACGCTAGTCTCAATGCGGCGGGCACGTGAAGTACGTAGTAGTATGTACCTCTTCATCTTATCAGATGGATCGACTGTGTAAGAGAGAATGTAGGTGTAAGTACCAGCGCGGAGGATCTAGCCTAACTCGTCAACATGTATATATGTATTACTCGGAACTATTCTTAGACGAATTGAAAACATGATTCCAGCTCTAGCCACTCGAGATGGTATAGTGAAAATTCTGATTATCCTACATGATGCAGGATCATAATTCAGTGTTGAAAGCAAAAAAAAAAATCCCGTAGTAGAAAGTGCGAAATTGGAGAAACCATACATCGCTTCATTGTACATTGATCAATCCACTTTATTTAACCTGACCTGCACCTCGCAACACTCACAATCCCCCCTGCTTACAACTTGGCCTTATTCTCACCCTCAACTTTAACCAGCGCCCGTCCATTCGTCAGCACCGTCTTGCCCCCCTCAACCTTGACAATAAACCTTATCTCCTCGGATCCTTGCGCATCCTTATCCCCCGTCCGCCACATATCCACAATCAGCTTGTCAGCCGGCTTGACCGGGGCTGCAAAACGCGCCTGGAACTCTTTCAGGTTCTCGGGCTTGCTGGCGCCAAAGGCTTTGAGGATGGCGTGGGCCGCCATGTTCCAGGAGAAGAGGCCATGGATGATGGGGCCCCCGAAGCCCATTTTTTTGCCGGGTTCAGGGTCTGCGTGCAGGGGGTTGTAGTCGCCGTTTAGGCGGTACAGGTGCGCGGTTTCCATGGTGGTTTGGTGGATGTGCGTGTGGTCGGGGTTGCGGGAGGGAGGGGGGAAGTTGGGGACCTTGGGACCTGCATGAGGGTTTGGTTGTTAGCAATATGCTCAATGATAATGATGGTGATGGATGTTTGTTTGTTGACATACCCTTGGGACCGCCCCATCCTCCTTGTCCGACGTAAAATCCGCTTCCAACAGCTCTGGTGTACGTCTCTCCCGTCTCGGCATCAACAAGACGTTGCTCGGTTTCTACAACCGTACCTGGCTTGCCCTTGTCGTACACGCCTAGCACTTTGCTTCGCACCTCGAACTTGCGGCCCGCGCTGCTGACGGGAAGCGGCTTCAAGAATTGCATCTTGCGCTCGCCGTCGAGCACGTGCTTGGTGTCGAACTTGGGCACGCCCTCAATCGGCTCTGAATTGCTGCGCGCATAGAAATCAATGACCTCCTGGTCGGTGTGCTTGAATGGGAGAATAACGGGATACGTGGGGAAGGCAGCAAAGGAAGGATGGAGTTCCTGGCATGCTTGTCAGAGCTTGTCCTTTTCACAATCCATCCGCATACACTCTCAATAACCCGGTAGCATCGACCAGAGGGATGCTCGGCTAAATTGACTTACATAGAGGAAATGCAGCTCAGCTGGGTATGTAGCTCCGATGCTGTTTGCGAACAGCAAAAGATCGCGCTTCAGCCATGATACTTCAACTGGAGGAAACTCGAAGCCGACACCGGGTCCCAATTCTTTGCCCATCGTGAAAAGTATGTAGTGTGGACGGTAGTAACGTTTTAGTGTGAGAAAATTTCCCAGTCGCAATGCGTAATACCAAAACGTCAGTGGTTTTTTTAGATTGCAAGTATTTAAAGCTCAGGTGGTGTTGGAAGCCCGGGGTGGCAGGCGGGGCGGTAATCGCGACGCGCAGCTTTGAGGTTTGAGCCGAGGTACGATTCATTCATCAATACTCAATATAAGCTATGCCCCAAGAAGAAGTAACAGTGGCATGACACAACAGCTTGCAAGAGGCGCACCTGGTAGACAAAACTCCCGGGAATTTGCCCTACCAAAATCGATAACGCACCGGAAAGTTAGCAGCTTTAAGCTTTACAATATAAATACAACATTATAATAACAGTAAATTTGCATTCGCATCGTTTTTGCTATATTCTAGGGTAGTATTTACAATTATACAAGACTGAAAAAAGCGCAGGTAAATGGTGCGGCTAACCATTTTGTAATCCCGGGAACTTTGCCCACAAGGGGACGGAGACCTAGTTTTATTGAGCTGGTGCCGATGTCGGTATACTTATTAGTCGCCCTTTTGCACATTTTTCTGGTAACACATATAAATATGAACAGTCTTGGTAAATTTCGTAGTATTTATTATATCTATAGCCTAGTTGCTTCACTAAGGAACCTAAATGAAAATAGCATATTGTATGGACGCTCATAAAGAGGACCATGCAATATACATGCCAATTCCCTTTCCATCATCTCGTCCTTCGTAATGTTTGTGAAACAGCACCATAACTCAGCAAAGCTACTAGGTGGGGTCTCAATTCCATGCGCCGAGAACAAAATGACAGAACCTTTGGAGTCTAAACCGAATCATAAAAATGACTTCTGCAAATGCTCAAAATGCAAGCAGAGGCAGAAAACAAGTCGTGGTGGAGGGGTATATCGTACGGCAAACATGCAGTTTACTCCTTGATAGCATAGGAGCGGCGGAACATGCTGTCAACGCCGGTGAGGTAGTAAACACCAGATGAAATGGTCTCAGGGTTTCCCTTGGGAGTGTAGTCCTTTTGCAGATGGGCCTGCTCACGGAGGTTGCACATCTACAGATATAGTTAGCCATACAATTCAAAAACAATCTCATATTGCATTAAAACTCACTTCATCGTAAACCTCGGGGGCTACTACACGCCTATTGGCAAGGCGGTTGTGAATGTCAAGCTGTTTAGTAAGGTTCTCAGTGCTGCCCCTGACAGTGAAAGAGAACAAGGACGAGGCCAGACCACTTCCGTAGCTGAACAAGCCAATACGCTTGCCCTGAAGATCTTGGCTGTTGACGTTGGCGAGCACGCTGCACAAGCTACCGTAGACGCTGCCACAGTACATGTTACCGCACTCGGTTGGGACCTGGATACTAGGCTGGACGCGGGCAGCGAAGCGCTTCTTGGCAAGACCCATGAATGTCTTCTCGACAGTCTTGTCGCTGATGGAAGTGGCATAGTCGAGGTCGCGGAGCTCAGCGGGAACCTCGGCAAAAATAGGGTTGGTGGGGTTGACAAGGTAGTCGTTGTAGAGCATACGCGCGTATGACTTGGCGACAAGCTTGCAGGTTGGCGCATGGAAAGCCATGTAGTCGAACCTGTCCAGAGGAGTCTCGAGCTCGTGGCTGCTTCCGTTGACGCCATTGCCATTTTGGCGTGCCTTGAGAGTCTTCTCGCGCTCGTTGTAAGCCTTGTAGCAGGCATCTACCGCCTCAGTGTAGCAGCGAAGGGAGAAATGACCATCGACGATGGGGTACTCGCTCTTAAGGTCAGGCTTGTAGAAGTCGTATGTGTGCCTAACATAAGAACCGCGCTGGCCGGCATCCATGACGAGGGGCGCGTTGGGACCAATGAGCATGGCCACGCATCCAGCTCCACCAGTGGGGCGGGCAGCACCCTTCTTGTAAAGCGCAATATCTCCTGCGACGACGACAGCGTCGCGGCCGTCCCAGGCCGACGACTCGATCCAGTTGACCGAGTTGAAAAGGGCGTTTGTTCCTCCGTAGCATGCATTCATAGTGTCGATACCCTCAACGTTGTAGTTGCCAGATTCTTCGAACAGCTGCATGAGGACGGACTTGACAGACTTGGACTTGTCAAGCAGCGTCTCCGTGCCGACCTCGAGGCGGCCAATGTTCTTGGGGTTGATGTTGTATTTCTTGAAGAGAGAGGTGACGGTAGTCAGGGCGAGAGAGTAAATGTCTGGAGGCGGAAAATCAGTCTTGTGTCCAGGAACGAGTATTGCCAAACGGCAGGAATGGTACAACTCACCCTCGCGGTCGTCGCAGAAGGACATCTTGGTCTGGCCGAGACCAATAGTGTACTTGCCTGCGGAGACTCCATCGAACTTCTCGAGCTCAGTCTGGTCAACGCACTGCAGAGAGACTGGTTAGCCGGTGTTGCAGCAATATGGACGCATGACGGGGCGAGGACGCCTGTCGCATGCGCAAGGAGTGGAAGTAGTGTACCTGGCTGGGAAAGTAGAGTTCAATGGCTTTGATGCCGATGTTGGAGGGACGAGCAGCCATAGTTGCAGTGTTTTGACGTGGTGGGGATGGAGTAGGAAGAGATTGTGTGGGCAGAAAAGAGGGGAGTACACACCGCTGGTTTAAGTAGTTGAAGGAAGAGGATGCTACGCGTAAAGTGGAAAAGGGCCCCAACAGTAATAGCGGCGATCCGAATGTGGCAATGCTAGTAAGACATCAAGAGCATGGCTCGATAGGGGCGAGTAATGAATTTGTGCGGCCTTTGGCTGTTAACGCCGTCGACGGCCCACCGCTGTCATTGTTGTCGGCGGATTTTCACAACAAAGTTTCAAGGGTCTTGCAGGGAACATTGACATCGCTGCCCTGTTGCGGGGTTTCTCCAAAAAAGAAACTATGCGGCTCCTTTGACAGCTCCATTGTCACTGACGCTGCGAGAACGACAGTTGTTTTTTCTTTTTCTTAACACCCTTTTCGGCCAGAGTTGCTGTCGTGCCACAAACACTCCGGGTAAAGCGTTTCGAGGGAGCAAAACTACCCGACAGCTTATCAGACATGAGCTTGGCATTCAGGGATTTGCCGCCAGCTACGGCTATGTACTGTGTAACTTGTCAAGCATGTAGCCACGCGCCCGTAACTAGGCCCAGGTCTGTAAGTAGCCAGAGACGACGGGTACCTGTCCGAGACCGCCTACTTCGGGAACCGAACAGCCCTCGAATCGTACAAGCTTGTCTGCAATAGTAGTCGGTTGGCACATAGCCTCACAGCCCGCATAACGCGGCTGCTCCTAAGCGAGGCATCCAGCTGCATTCAGTTGCATCCAGCTGCAGTCTAACAGCCAGCATGTGCCATCATGTACCAGAATTTCCCGGATGGCTGACGTACATGTCGTCAGGGTTGGAAGTAGTCCTGCGACGGGTTTCTTCCCGAAACAGATGTAGGGAATAGGAAATCGGCCAGGAAGGGTATGGTTATCGGATGGTCAAAGCATCAGGCAATCGCCGATATATGTATCCACTCAACCCGACATTGTGTAGACTGTCACTGATATATTATGGGTGTTGAGCAAATGTTACAAAAGCAGTAATTCCATAAAAGTGGCAGATGAAATGTACACCGACGGGATGCATTGTGCGCACAGTGCACAAGGGTTGCCAACGCAACCAGCACCGCACATCACCAACACCAAGCAGCATCCATACAAGATCCCTTCTGATCCCTATCCGCCAGTCTGTCACAACATTATCAGAGAAAACCATCCCATGTATGTACACGAGTTATCGTGCTATTATCTTTGATGCACATATATCTGTGTTTGAATGATAGTATAGACAATGAGTAGTGATGAACTTGAGAGCCCACTAGTAAGTACACTAAAAACAGGGACAGGGTGGCAACGGCCTGCACTTCACGGATGCAAAATGCGCCGGGTAAGACCGCAATGTCGATCAAGAAAGTGACCGACGTGAAACAACGCAAAGACTGCACCACAGTACCCCATATCGCTTTGCAATGGCGTGTTGCACATGGGGAAGGCTGCTAAATATGCAAAAGTCATGAAGCGCACGTCCAGAGCGCCACTGTTCGCCACCCATGTACGTGCATATATGTATATATGTGTCCATCCGTCGCCACCATAGTGTATGTACTGTACATATGTGTCAGCACAAAACCATCGCACTCACTCGACAAAGCTGTGTACTGCCAGTAACCTCTGAAACCTGCAAGCGAAGAGTCTGTTGAGGCAGCAGTGCGCGTATGGCATGCCCCCATGTACTTGTTGGGCCCGGGACAGAGTAATCGTAGTGATTTCAAACAAGCAGGCGTAAATATGCAATTGTGTCAATGTGTAGCAAAAACAAGACATTGGCAATCGCAACAGCACTTGGAAGAGGGGCTGGCAAAGGCATGTGTTCTTAGTTTCGTGACCTTGTCGAGTGATGCAGGCACAGGACTGGGTGTTCGTGCTAACCGGCCGGTTTGGGACTAGTGGCGTCTCAGACTTCCAAGTTCCAAACCTGCCCGATGCGCCCTCTCTCCACACAGCCCCAACATCACGACACGATACACGCCAAAAACCGCACCACACTCGCTATCCGCACACGATTGATCGCATTCGAGCGCACCATTACCACCAGAATTTCACAGAGAGAAAGTTGAATCGCTGTTTGGGAGATTTGGCAGGGGGGTCAGAGCCTTTGTGGCTCTCAGGGACGACCGTTCAGCGCCATGGATAGACGCAACAGTGACGATAACGAGCCATCGCGGCGCTCGAGCGAACCCGATATTTTCGATGATGATAACGAAATCGATCCGAGCGAAGATGACTTCATGCCCTCAGTTTCGGATGGCTTTCGGCCAGCCAACGCTAGCGAGACGTGGCACAGCGACCGTCAGGATCACGACCGGATAGCTACACCGCAGCGACAGACATCTACGTCAAAACCCAACAGCACAGATTTGCGGAGGACGGCTACGCGGAACAGCACTGCCAAAGTACACGACCCCATGACGCAAGATGGCCGATCGCCGCTCAACAGGGGACCCAGCCAACGGTCACCCCTGGGACATACACATCGCGACTCGGTGAGCTCTACGGCATCTTTCGCAACAACAAGCAACTCAGAAAACCCTTTTGAGACCGGGCCCAGCCACCCCTATGGCATGTATCCGCAGCTATCCATGACGCGGCCATTGAGTGTAGCGACGAACTCGACAGAGCGACAGCCACATCGATCCATGTCGTTACAACGGCCCACTCATCCGTATGCCATGTACTCGCAGAGCGGAATTGTCGACGAGGAACCACCAGAAGAGCCCGCACGGCCACCTGCGCCCCCGGTACAATCGGCTATTCCTGTTGGATTCCCGGGTTTAAACAATGGCTACCATCGAGTGCTTGGGCCCGATGGCGAGGAGCAGGACATCATTGGACCAGACGGCCACACAGAACAGCTTCCCCCGTACTCAAGGTATCCAGAGGAAGGTCCAACCAAGGCATCCTTGGCTGCCGAGGCAAGCGCGTCGCGTGTAGTCCCTGCACCCGCCCAAGTCGATCCAGAGGACCCTTTCAATTCTCCGCCGTCCCCCGTGTCACCACTGGGTTCAATATCCTTCTCTGCATCCTCCTTCTCAACTGCTGCTGCTCCTGCCGCTCCCTTTTTGCCTTCCGTCACACCCGCCCGTCTGCCGCCTCAAAGACCAGAAACTCAAACCGGCAGTGTGGCACCCACTATCTCCACTACCCCACCAAGCAATCACACTATACCAGCTGAACCTTCAGATTCTTCGTCTGCGTCATTGTTGGCGAATGAAAATCAGTTTTCAGAAAAATCGGAGCTGGCTGACGAGAAAACCCCTTGGCGGAAGAGGAAGTTATGGGGCAAAGTTCCAATGGGCCTTGCCCTCGCAATCCTAATAGCTATCATAATCCTTGCCATTGCTCTTGGAGCTGCAATCGGTACCTTTGCTACAAAGAAACAAATCACTGACGAGAACGAGGAGGAAAATCGTCATCCGCATGAGGAAGCGTAAGTTATTAGCTATCTGACAATCTCCACACGCTGACTTCGAGTAGCCAACCGCAGGTCACTGGTCAAAACGGATCTCTTTTTGACGCTGTCCCTATCTCGGCCCCCTCTGGCATGGCTTCAATACCTACAGGGCCCTTCGCGCTTCCTATGGGCATGCCCCAAGAGAGCACTCCAGGATGCCTAACTCAGGCAAACCAATATTCTGCATGGTCGTGTAAGATGACTTTTGCTCCCCTCGTTATAACGGTCAACGAAACTACCGTCAATGGTGATACCATACAGGTAGCATCCATGGGCGCTGGTCCTTCTGTACCAAAGGGAACCATCCTTTATGGCCTCCAAACCCCCACGCTAGACAAGAAGCCACTTAGCCTCGTGCTTGACCTGGATTTCAAGGCTTATGGCCCAGCTTACCATTTTTCTGCTCGGTATGACAAACTGGTCATCCTGCCACCAGAGCAACTCAACCTTGGGTCAGCACTCACGACACGACAAGAAGTAAAGTATAGGCAGCGATTCGAAGTGAAGCCTGGTGACTATCCCTGGTATTGTTACTGGAATGACACATATATCGAGGGTTATATCTACGTGCAGGACAACTCAACGGCAGCCTCATTTACGTCTTTTCCTACTGAGTGGCCTACCCCCACTCCATCCACCCTGGAAACTGTCTCCATCGAGGCTCTGACCGTTACAGCAACAACAACGGACACTGTTTCAGTGGATATTATAGAGACTGCCAAGCCAACCACGTCTGCTTCTGCTCGTGTCAGTCGACGAGATACGTCCTCCGATGATCCTCCGTCGCGTATGCCACCTTACCCGCGTACTGTCAAAATTGAGGAGCGCCGCCTCGCCGACTCGCCACAACCGTACTGCCAACAGATGGTTCTACTAGATAACGGAGAGATTACGACAGCACCAGGCCCAAACGATAGTCCAATCAGAATATGGTTGCAAGAGGCAGATCCGAGCTACGAAGAGTTCCTTGCTGCTCAGCCCAGTAATGGCCCGTCAGACAAGGGCAAACGCCAAAGCCCTTCTGAAATGCAGAGACGTGCCGACCCACCAGACGCCTGCCACTGTCAGTGGATGTTTAGTTAAGCAACATGCGCTTGGTATAAGATTTCTCATTATTTCATCTATCCCTGGAGCGACAGCTACATCTTGGACTACGACTCCTTTGTTTTCTTTTCCCTTCCATGCAAGCACTGGGTACATCTTATGTTGTGGTGTTTATGGCGCTTTCCCACTCGGCTGCTTACGAGTTTTCACGCATATCCGGCATATACCTGTTCTCATTTCCTTTAGTCATATTGCTGCATGCTATGCTCATAGCCTTATCTCTGTATCTTTGATAGGATGGAAAGGAGATCCTATCGGTCTATATCGATGTACAATGTTCCTTCACTAGCTTGTACATATTGCGATGGTTGGATCCGGAACCGCGAATTATAGTTGTCGCGTGAGTTCATGCTGAAGAGGTAGTAGATAGAATAACCTGGAATACCATTGACAATCATATCAGTCTATGTACCTATCGCAGATTTATTAGTGACTCCCTTCCCTGTGAGCGGTCCGGGCACTGAGTATCCGTTTGCGGTCTCATCTTTTAGGAGGCGAGGGTCATTGTTACATCATCACGATCCGCCAGCCTCGGGCGTATTGTATGCATACAACGGAACAAGGACTCATAGCTCAGCAGCTTAGCGTCTAGATTCGAACAACCAGTCCATATTTGATCTCACTTCGATAAAGGAGAACCGATCTTCAAACGCGTAGTCTCTCGTCCTTGCGCAAACCCAAACTGCCAACCCTTTTTTCAGCTGGCCACATAGTTATTCTCATCGCTTACCATTATTCATAATCCGGGAGCGCAACCGCTTTAGTGTGTGCTTCAACACATAATTCTTGCAACCAGATGCCCTATCTCTCTCATCCTCTACGACAATGAATTACTGAAAGAATTCAAAGTGGGCCAAACTTTTTGCAATGATTTCACAATATTTTACTATTATGATCGTGTATCCCAGAAACCAAGGTGAGCGTAGCTGCAGTGTAGCATGTTGTGCAGGCAGCAATGTTGCACCTCCAAGTCCGACTGGGAGTATGCACTTCAATGTGTTTTGAGGAAGAGGCTTATACGAGCGTGCCGTCCGGTTCGCCGGGTAGTCGTTTAACACGCCTCTGCTCCCAGTCCTCAAGATCTTTCGCTTGCAATCGCTTCAAATCTGTCAGCTCGAGCCATTGAAATCCTATATCAGCATTGTACGTACGTAGTACTCATCGCGCATGTTGACCTTCCTCCGCTCCCCTCTGAGGCCCATTGCTTGCTCTTGTGTGATCTGCTGGTTTTTGCGGTCGTATCGTTCATATCGCAGTGCCGTGGCGGGTGTCAGCATGAAAGACCCGGCCACCATGGTAGTGAGGAACGGCAGCCCAAAGAGTAGGAACGGGTGCTTCTGAAGCGATTTGCGGTATCGCGCTGCAAGCGAGTTGGGCAGCGTGGCGCTGAAAGACTTGGATGTGAAAGGGCCTGGCATGGTTCAGATTTGTCAAGGCTAGGCCCGGGCGGGTAGAAAGGCAGTTCGGAAATATGGGTTCAAGGTGATGTGTCGCGTTCTCGGATCGGGAGGCGGGCCCGCAAGTTCTGTCTGAAGATGGATGATGTAGTGCAGTTGCGGAGCAGCGCTCTTTCCCGAGACAGGACTTGGCGGCGTCCCGTGACTACGTGAATTGCCCAACACGCGCCTCACGTAATCCCACCCACGTCCCTCTTCGGTATGCATTGCTCTTTCGCCGTACGCCATCGCTCACGACAGTAAAGCGACAACAGCTACAAGATCAGGCCAGACCAAGAACGGTAGACCAGACAATATTGCCGCTCCCAGGCAACCATTGGCAGCAACGTTCAACCACGAGTCTTTCAGCATCCAATCACACGCCACTTTAGTCGTCAACGATAGTGCCTGAGAGTCCACGAATTTTCTAGCAGTATTCTGAGTGCGGATGGTCTTGAAAAAGCCTCGATCTTCCCCTCCACTTTCTCAAGTCATGCTACATCGGTAAAGTGGCGTCCATCATGGCCCGCAAAGGCGGGGGCTCGACTCAACGTATGGCTCCGCCGCCTCTGACAAGTGGGCACTCAAATGGCATCCCTCCGCCGTCGACTATTGCTGCCCAGATTGTTCACAATGCCTCAAATATCAACGCGCAACGCGATGAAGCTATCAAAGTCACGTTTGGCGAGTTGGTCAAAGAGTTCTTACAGCACCCAAACACGGATGAGCCTGACCCCCAGCTGGTTGCACTCATATGTGTGATTGCCGAAGCAGGGCTTGAGGGCCTTTTCAAAGATGACCCATTTGCTCAAGATCAACAAAGACAGCAGGGGATTGACAGCATCGCGGCACTTATGTTTATCTTGCAGCAGAAACCGCATCTGCTTGTGAGCATCAAACAAGGTGATGACGAGAGCATTCCTGGTCCTCCGCTCATCCTCTGGCTGTATCCGAAGCTGCTTGGTTTGTTGACACACATGACACTGCAACCTGTACACAAGCATGTCCAGCAGCTTTTGCATCTTTGTCTCAATGCATTGACTCAGACTTCTACACTATGGCGTCCAGCCGCAACGGTGCTGCAGCTCTACAGATCTTGCATACAATGTAAGCGATTTCCATTAACCCAACATATTTTTTTAACCACTTCCAGGTATCCTTTCGGAAATTGAGGCCTTGGACAACCCGGATTCACCACCAGCGTCGTCTCTCAGTCTAGTTCTACCACCATCAAGCGCTATCAACAACTTCTGGCCAGAAAGCCAGCAGTTCGTTGCATTACCTCAGGATCTACAGCGGGCTATCTCGTCTCATCACGGGGCTATTCACATAGGCTTTTGCCTTTTACTTGCCTTGGTAGATACTATACACCCGCAAAGCAAGGCACTTTCAACCTCGGTTACCCTGGAGCATCATTTACCTTGGATCTTGGACAGCGTACAGGCTTTGTGGCGACATTACAGACGTTGGACGATATCTTCGGAGAGGCGCGCAATCTATGATGAGATTATGCTCGTATATATGCAGTTGCTGGAATCATTATTCATCTCTTCAGTCACGCCTAGATACCGGGCCCCGGCTTCGTCGAAGATCGCTCAAACGCTCACCAGCAGTCTTGTAGAACTCCTCCGTAGCTTGTCTGCTACGCAGACATCAGAAGTTATTCAGATCCGAAAAGCATCCATATTCACTCGCCTGCGCAGCACTCTCGGCTATCAATCAATTGACAACTCGCTCCCGCGACGACGACAAGATGTAACCAGACATGTTATTCAGAACGAAATTGAGCATGCTGTGAACAGGCTGTTCCAAGATGAAGAGTGTTTTGTAAAGCTCCACAAAGACTTGCAGGTACGCAGCCCTCACTGTAGTGCGTTCTTTGACTGACGAAATCAAGCTGGCACTTTGTCTTTGGACTTCGCCAGGTATACACTCTATGCAAGTTGCAGACCTAAGAAAAGAGCTTTGTGAGAATGAATTTGGCAGTTTCTCTGATGCTCAACTTTCCGAGGAATCAATGTCCGCTGTCAAGGCATTCCGAGCCTTGAACCTGGGTGACGGAGACAGACCAGCCAAGCGACGGAAGAAGTTGCTAGAATCTTCAGAAGATATCAACCAGGACACTCTTAAGCGAATTATGATGAGTTTGAATGGTAGCATGCAGGATTCCCCGATGCTCTTCTTGTCTAATCCACAGGATGTTATTCAGTAAGCTGACCTAATTTACTCCTTACACGACGCTTACCTGTATAGGGCGAGATACTTTTCCATACCGGATGACGAGCAGCAAAATGAGAGTGCGCAGAAAGAAATCATCACAGCATTGGCAAGAGTTGCTTGTGCTGGTTCGCGATCTCTGGAATTGCCACGGTTCACGTCGCATTCATTGGATTCTCTTAATTGCACCTTGTGTGATACCAATAACCAGCAAGAACGGAGTGAAAGTTCTTATTGGAACTTCCTGGATCGTGCGGAAAACTGGAAAGATATCATTGTTGCCATGCTTGCAATCACTAGGGAAGACAAATTTCAAGCATCGTCACGATCAAAAATCCTCATGGCTGTGGCTATTGGCCGTGTATACAACCATATCTCAGATGCTGAATATTTGGCTCTTGAGAATTGCGGGCTAGGACAATGGTTGCTTGCATGTATGAGTAGATCCCTGCGAGAGCTAAAAATTGCAGCTGCGAACTCCCTTATGGTTTTTCTTCGCAACGACATTTCGAGAAGTATCCGCGAAAAGAATCGGAGGTCTACTATAGAGTTTCTCGATGCACTCGCAAAGAGAAATTTTCTGTCCGATCAGGAGACGCTAATCATGGCTTATGGTCGAATTGCTCAAACATGCGGCGAATTGGAGCTTCCAATCATATTGCATCATCTTGTCGAATACCTTGGCCACCCGAACGCATTAGTGTGTGGTATGGCTTACCGTGAGCTCGAGTCCATTGCCAAAGGACTTTCCATGGATACAACCCAGTTGTTGCGCCCCTACTGGAAAGTTATCGGGTTTTCAGTCATCAAGGACATTGTCAACAAACCCCAGAAGGCACAGCAATTGGCAGATCTAACTGAACAAAGCGTTCGTCAACTCCTTGTGCAAACCCAATCGGACACACTGCCCCATCTTGTGTTGAGTAAAAGGAGAGATATCATCGAGAAAATTGCTCAAGCACGAAAGGCCTCCGTTGTCGACGTATTGACTTATCCAAGAGTCAATCTTGCCAAAATCTTAGCTTTGCTTCTGTCGCAACCTGTGCCTGATGTTGAACGCACTGCAATGGAAACATTGGCTGCTGTTGAACCCGCTATTCGTGACGGCAGCAATAACAGACTGGAGTCCTGGGTCGCGCTGGACATAACGGGCATTGCTATTGAAATACTCCTGTTAGCGGCTGATCAAGAAGGAGCCAGAAAGAAGCCGTTCTACAACGGGTTTACCACACTCGCAACGCTTGCACCGGATACCAAATCAGGCCCACGAAAGTCTACGTCAAAATCAAAGAATCTTGATGCCTTTTGCGAAACACATATTCTCGGCATCATAGCATATTTCTCCAATGTGATCGAAACACCAAACTCTCCTGGAAAAGCTGTGCCGTATAGCATGCCAGAACGGAGGAGGTGCATAGCTGCCATTGGCGATCTCATCAATCTCGCTCGCTACAGTGTGAACGGAGCTTTACCTCAGATCCGCGCTTGCCTTCAGTCAGCTATGGCAAATCCCGATCTTTGCGATGATACGTTCAGTGTCTGGTCATCTTTCCTATCAGCTCTCGATGCGGACGAGACAATGCTAGTCATTGACCAAACTTTTGCGTTGATCGTACAGCATTGGAATATTTTTTCGGACGAGACGCATGCCAAGGCTCACAAAACCATCGAAAACATTATTGCACAACACAACGCACAGCTCCGAGCAAGAATTGAGTATCTCCCTTCCCTGGGAACCATTCCGATGTTGTCTAAAATAGAAGGAGAGCTAGTAAGATTTAAGGACATGGTAGAGACGATCAAGGTTTTTCATGCCTTCAGCAATCGGTGCAAAGATCAAAATTCTGTCGTAGTGCGTCAAGCACTCAGAGAGCTTGTGCCCTTCTTGGATGAAAACCAGGAAGAGTTGCATCAGTCCGTAGTCGGCCAAAAGCCACTTCCCGTGTTGGCAGCCTTGACCAGATCTCTCCTTGATGCTAGCGTTCGATTTTCCGAAGACCATTCTGATATCACCATACTATGTGCACAGTGTCTCGGAGTTATCGGCGGTCTTGATCCATATCGAGTAGAGACAGTTCGAGAGAAAAAGCGCGTATTGATGCTATCGAATTTCTCACGTAGAGACGAAGACATTGACTTTGTGGCATTGCTTCTTGAGCAGGTCCTCGTCAAGGTTTTCCTGTCTACAACGAACGCAAAAGCACAAGGATGGATTGCCTATGTTATGCAGGAGATGCTAAAGCACTGTGGTTTCAGTGCTCTTCGCGGAGCAAAGCCTCGGTCATCTCAAGGTAGTACGGAGGCACAACGTTGGAACAATATTCCAGAAGCTGTGAGAACCGTGTTGACACCTTTCCTGGATTCAAAATACTCCGTTAATATGAATCCCGCTTTGCAGTACGAGGGCGTGAAATACCCCATCTTTCATCAAGGACTTAGCCACACAACCTGGCTTCAGACTTTTGTTTACGACTTGCTGCGAAAAGGGCAAGGCGTCAATGTCGAGATGGTCTTCCCAGTTTTAGCCCGAATAATTAGGGGTTACGACCTCTCAATCGCAACGTTCATTCTTCCATTCGCGGCTCTGAATGTTGTCGTGTCGGATAACGAAGAGAACATGGCCAACGTTGGGCGAGAACTTCTTCAGGTATTGCAAGCTGATCTGTCCACAATGGAGCAGCATGAGGCATCTACTACAAAGCAATGTAGCGAGGTAAGAAGATCTGAAATTATAACCCGGAGGCGATTATTGAATTTTGGCAGAACGTGTTCCAGACGCTTGACTACTTTTCATTGTGGTTACAGGAAAAGCGGAAATCCTTATCGGATGCCAGGGCCATGGCTGGCAAGACAGGCCGCGGTGTTCACGAGAACGAAGAGATGAATGCAATAAAGCAGGTCAGTCGTGTGGAAGGTATACTTCAACTCATTCCTGCAGAGATCATATCCCAGAGAGCTGTCGAATGCGGCTCATATGCTCGAGCTTTGTTCCACTGGGAGCAGTACTATCGCCAACAACGGGACGTAAAGGCGGAATCAAATCAGTCCTTTTTAGAGAAGGACGAACTTTTGCAACACCTGCAGATGATCTATGCCCACATTGACGAACCGGACAGCATAGAGGGAATATCGGCTCACCTCAAGGTACTCAATCCGGAACAGCAAATAATCGAAGACCGTAAAGCCGGTCGATGGACTGCGGCTCAAAGCTGGTATGAGATTGCACTCGCTGAAAGGCCGAACGACGCCGAAACCCAAATCAATCTCTTGACATGTCTGAAGGAATCTGGCCAATACGGTATGGGTGTATACGAATTTCACAAAAGAATTAGCTAATGCATAAACCAGATGCGATTCTCAATTATGTTGATAGTTTCTACGCCAACAACTCATTTTCAGCCAAGACATTGCCTTTTGCCGCTGAGGCAGCTTGGTCAGCTGGGAAATGGGAACAACTTGAGCGCCTCCTGAGCAATTCTCATTCCACAGATTCCAATTCTTTCATGAACTTCAACGTAGGTATAGGTCAAGCACTCTTAGCACTTCGTCATGACAAGGTTGCCGAATTTCAACGTCTCATTGCACAGCTCCGAGAACTTGTAGCAAAGAGCTTAACAGTATCGACAACGGCTTCTGTCCAAGCATCACATGAGCATTTGGTCAAGCTTCATGCGCTGTACGAATTGGAGGCTGTAAGTGGTACAGGTACGGTAACAGTAGACCGTGAAGTGATTCTAGAGAATCTCGATCGACGCCTGGATATTATCGGAGCCTATACCTCAGACAAGCAATACCTGCTAGGTATTCGTCGTGCCGCAATGAAACTGTCTCGGCAAGTGTAGCACTTGAACAGTATTGAATACGAATACTGACTGGTATTAGGGTTCAATTCAACAAACTCGACATTGCATCTGCATGGCTCACGACAGGAAGACTCGCTCGCAAGGGCGACTTCATGACAACTGCATTCAACTCCGTACTCCATGCCGAACGACTAGGAGAAAATGCGTCAAAGATTGAGTACTCCAAGCTGTTATGGAAAGAAGGCCATCACCGCAAAGCTATTCAAAACTTACGTGGTGCAATCGACAGTAATGTGTTTCAGCATGACGAGACTGTGCCTATCAACGTTTCGGTGACTACTGCTGGCCGAGGAGAAGAACACCCGATGAATAAGGTCAAGTGCCATGCTCAACTGTTGCTCGCAAAATGGCTTGATCGTGCTGGCCAGACACAAGCGGTTTCTCTTAAAGAAGAGTACGTGACTGGTGTCACAACCTATCCCCGGTGGGACAAAGGTCACTACTATCTAGGGAGATGGTACCTCAAGTTATTGGAGTCCGAGAAACAGCAGTCAGTAACGAAGCAAAGCCCAGAATATCTATCTGGGAGCTTGACTAAACTCGTCATTGAAAATTTTGTTCGATCAACGGTCTACGGAACAAAGTACTACTATCAAACTCTGCCCAAGATACTCACGTTGTGGTTAGACATGGGCATGGAAGTCATGAATAACACTCCACGCGCCGTAAAGGATAAAGAATTTCATGAACATCGGCTGGGCTATCTTGACCATATCAACAAGTATCTGAAGCGCTATGCAGGAGAGCGAATGCCCGCTTTCGCATGGTACACCGCCTTCCCGCAGATCATTACACGCATCAGCCATCCGAATAAGAACGTTTGGGATGCTCTCCAGATGATCATCATCCGGGTTGCTTCATCATACCCTCAGCAATCGCTATGGGCTTTGTTGGCTGTCCTTCATTCAACGCAGGACGACCGGCGAATCCGTGGTTCTGCAGTGCTGCAAAAACTACGCGTAAGTTCTCAAGCTAGTGAAGGCAAAAACACTTGCTAACATAAAAATAAGGATACATCAAAGCGCAAGGGAACGTCTGTTGATCTTAAGAATCTCATCATTCAAGGCCAGCGACTTACTGATGCGTTGCTGGCGGCTTGCGATGCCCCAATTGAATCGCGAGTTGCACGTGTGAGCCTAGCAAGGGATCTTGGATTCAACCACAAGCTTGCTCCTACTCAATTAGTGGTTCCAATTGAGACCAATCTTCTTCCAAATTTACCAGTGGGTAATGATAGCCAAGCTATTCGTCGTCACAACCCGTTCCCTGTAGACCCCATCACGATCCAGTCGTTCGATGACAACGTGCTGGTCTTGTCATCACTTCAGCGCCCACGAAAGCTGAACGTCCGTGGATCTGATGGACGCTCTTACGGACTGCTCTGCAAACCAAAAGACGATTTACGCAAAGATCAGCGTCTGATGGAGTTCAATGCGATGATCAATCGGGCTCTCCAAAAGGACATTGAATCCAGCAAGCGACGCCTGTACATCAAGACATACGCAGTCACTCCACTAAATGAAGAGTGCGGAACAATCGAGTGGGTTGAGGGCCTCAAGCCAATGCGTGACATCATTCTGCGTTTCTACCGCCAGCGCAACATCTCTATTGATTACAACGAGATCCGCACGCTACTCAACGAAGCCTCATCATCGCCGTCCAAGATTCCCATCTTCACTGAACGCATCCTTGGCAAGTTTAAACCTGTGCTGCACGAATGGTTCGTCGAAACCTTTCCCGAGCCAGAAGCATGGTTTGCTGCACGCCTGCGCTACACTCGATCCTGCGCAGTGATGAGCATCGTAGGCCACGTCCTGGGTCTAGGTGATCGTCACGGCGAAAACGTGCTCCTGGAACAAGGCGACGGCGGCACCTTCCATGTAGACTTCAACTGTCTCTTCGACAAAGGCCTTACGTTTGAGAAGCCCGAACTTGTTCCCTTCCGTCTGACGCACAACATGGTGGATGCCATGGGCCCACAAGGCGTCGAAGGGCCGTTTCGCAAAGCGGCAGAGCTCACGTATAAGCTTCTTCGTCAGCATGAAGACACACTTATCACGATATTGGAGACGTTTGTGCACGATCCTACGGCCGATTTCCTAGGTGGGAAGCGCAGGAAGAAGATTGCGGGGGTGCCGGATACGCCGCAGGAGGTTTTGGACATTACGAGAACAAAGGTGAATGGGTATTTGAAGGGCGAGAGTGTACCGCTGAGCGTGGAAGGCTATGTGGAGGCGCTTATTGCCATGGCGAGGGATCCGCAGAACCTGGCCGCCATGTACATTGGATGGTGTGCCTTCTTCTAGGCTAGAGAGTGATTTTTTTACAATGCTAGGATTATACTTTACGAGTGTGGGCATGCTTGAAGACGCTTGACAAGGGCGTCGTGGAAGTATATAATCGAACTGTATGCAGGCTTTATTTTTTGTACCATGCATGCGATTTGTGTATTAGTGGTTAGCGGCTTTAATGGAAATAAATGTGCATATACAAGATTGGCATTACAATACGTAATGTAAAAGGTAGGTACTCCCATTCTCTCGAAACGCCGGAAAAAAAACTGGTAAGGAAAGTGATGATACCCAAAAGAATCGCTCAAGCGAGTTGCCTACCATGGTGGTGCCTTATATCATCATGCAAACTTTCTGCAGTCGTCTTTCGTAGCCTCAGTACAAGCGCTAACGTGCCAGCCGTCTGCATAGCCAGTCACCGCTTCTCACCACCGCATCTTCAACATCGCATTGATCCTCCCTTCTCCTCCAAAGCCATCTCTTCGATTCCAACTCGCAGATACATGCATGGCCTCTCTTCCACCTCCCTCTTTAACAGCACTTGCCGCCCATGCCCGCATTACCACCGTCCTGCCCGCTGACGTCCACCTTTGGCGTGGCAGTCTGGTCTGTCCTCGCAGTGTCGATCAACCGCTTCTTGATATCGCCAGCCAAACTGTAAAAGGCCTTGTCAACATTGATGTTGCTCTTTGCAGAGACCTCGAGGAAGGGAATTCCAAGCTCATCAGCGAGAGCCTGGCCTTGTTCTGTCGAGACAGCGCGCTTCTCTTCCCAATCACACTTGTTGCCAATGAGGATCTTGTTGACACCCTCGGTGGCGTGTTGTTCAACGTTGGCGAACCATGTGCGAATGTCTGGTGATAAATGTTAGTGGTGTCTTCTATTTTCTTTTTGTTGCTTCTCTCCAAAGCCTCTCGGAGATACGATTGAGCTCTTAAAGGTGATGGGACAGACGTACTGGTGAAGCTCCTCTCGTCGGTAACGTCGTAGACTAACAGAATACCCATGGCACCCCTATAGTAGGCCGTGGTAATGGTCCGGAAGCGCTCCTGGCCTGCCGTATCCCATATCTGCAGCTTTACGCGCTTGCCGTCAAGCTCAATCGTGCGGATCTTGAAGTCGATGCCGATGGTGGTGATGAACGAGGGTGTGAACGAGTCTTCGCTGAAGCGCAGCAGACAGCACGACTTGCCTACGCCCGAGTCGCCTATAAGGAGGAGTTTGATCTATAAGAACAGAGGGACTTGTGTTAGAGAGTGGGTCCTGTATACAGGCGGTGGAGGGGTGTTCAGGGCCTAGCAGCGAGTGTGGGGGATACTAGGGCCGCGAGGACAAACAAACATGGGGAGAGAGAAGAGAAGCTTACAAGAAAGTCATAATTTCTGGAGCCAGCCATGTTGGTAGAGGGCAGCCGTGTGCGTTATCGTGCGCGAGAGTGGGTTGCGGCGTTGGCACCCGCTGTTTGGGGAGTGAGACGGGGAAGCTGGCTTTGGCTGGCGGTCGCAAGAGAGACTAGGCTGGCAATGTACCCGAGTTCGTATTTGGGTGTTGATACAGGCACAAGGCAGACTGGGGAAGGGTTGGCGGTGGGTTTGGTTACCAGCAGGCGGCGAGTAAACGGCGTTGGAGGGAAGCCTTCCCACGGTGCCAACGTTGGAGTTTAGCGCCAATAGTCCGCACGGGCTCACCCAACCTTCGTCACTGTCACCTGCAACAAGCGACAAGAGGCGACTTGGTGGCAACTGCGCCTCCGGTCTGGCCTGACCCGGCGTCATCGTCACCGTCACTCGACACTTGAGACATGGCGGCTTGTCACGTTTGGGGTATACAGTACATGTTTTGCATTGTAGTCGACAACTCCGCTATTCATGGGTATACCAATGCTGCGTCATCCCCGTTACGGAAGACCGCCTCGTTCAAACAACCCACTTTGAGTACGCCCACCTTATGCGTTCAACTACCTTCTGCTGTCGCTGCAGCCCGCTTCTAACGTCCACAATCTCGTCTATCTCCACCAACAGGTCCTGAAATATGCGTCGAGGCAGGGTGCCACTTGCAGCTTGTCGGAGGAGATGGACTTCGCAGAGGAGTAAACCGTGGTCCTTGTACGATATTTCGCCGTCTGCTGTCGGAACCGCTCCAATAAGAATGCGGTCAATGTTACGCAGAATGAGTATCATGCGGCCCTGCCTTGCCCACTGCTGCACTCCTTTGCGACTGCTGAAGACGCCCCGGAGCCAGCGATAGACGCCAATGCTTACCAGCACACCCGGTGTTAAACCAATGAAGCCAAAAAGTAGCTCCTGACTCTTGAGAATGCTGTCAATGCCACTCATCGCGACCTCGACATCAACCTTGGTCTTTTGAACCTGAATGAGTAAAGCGCTGGCCAGATTGCCGACTATGGCACCCCTGACAGGATTTTGGATGTCTTTCTCGTAGGACTTGAGAACCGTTGTCAGATCGCCCTCGCGCACCTTTGCCTTGATATCAGCTATCTGAGACTCGTTTAGTGCCGGGCCTTCAGAATTATTGACAGCAAAATCTACGACCATGCGCTCGAGACTGGCACGATCCGATTCCAGGCTGTGTTTGCTCATGATGGAGACCTCGCTTTCTTCGTTATGGCGAATGGTGCCGATGATTCTCTTGGTTGGCTCGATTACCCAATTCGACCAAAAATCGATGACTGTCTGCCCCAGCTCACGGACCCAAGTCAGTAGCTCTTCCTTTCGATTTACAACGATGCGCAGGATCGTGGTTGAAGATACTAGTAGTAGGGTTGCAGGGAGCCAATAGCGTATCAGACGAGAAGGTCGACCATTGGCCTTGACGACTGCATTGAAGTTGGCAGTATAGGTAGGTAAGGCAGTTTTGAGCAGGTGCTGGAGACGCTCAGCAACTTCTGCTGGCCTCAGGGTAGTTGCAGCCCGTTCGCCGGAAGGCTCATGTAGCAAATAGAACTGGTCGTCTTGAGTGATGCTGGCAACCGAGTCGTCGAACTTATCAACGGAAAGCTCTGCAGCATTCACGCTCTGAATGACAGCATCCATGAGGGCAATGTTCTTAGACATGACACTCTTCCACCTTTGCCCGCCTTGAGTGCCGAGCAGAGTGGGCGTATATGTGCCATCGTCATGTACGCTGGCGAATGTCAGCAGATGTCAATGTGATTTGATGGTTGCCGTACTTCTCGTTACCCAGACCTTCGCCGAGTAGCACACCGAGTGCGTTGGCATTGACCATTCGTATCTTCCTTAGAGCTGCACGCTTTTTCCTGCCCTCGTTTCTCACAAGTGCTAGCGGGCTTACTACTCTTCGCTGGATATTTGCAATGCTGCGCTCCTGCACAGTGTCCTTGACCAGTCCATAAAACTGGCTCCATCCATCAGCCAATTGAGGGCCTCTTGAGCGCACATCGTGGTATATCTCCCGTGACCATTTCCACAGCCGAACTGGCGATGTCTGTATAGAGTACAGTCCGGCAAAGCTGTAGGTAGAGAGAATGTCGTCCCAGTACCAGAGATCATTCTCGAGAGGAATCGTCTGCTCTAATATGGTGTTCAGAACCTGTCCGTAGGCCTGCGTTGTCGCCTTGCTAACGAGGAGCCATTCCAATTCATGCTCATAGCTCGCATCCTCGATTGTGGTAGAGATATTTGCTCGGTGCAAGGTTTCGGATATTCTGGCCGCTGGGACCAGACTGTGCTTGGAAGAAGCGGTTGTGGAGAGCGACTTGATGAGGTTCTGCAAATGAGCAATGCGGCTTGTCTTTGCCGGGTCGTGGGCCTCCTCGGCGGTAATGGAGAAGGTCCTAGTGCTCGACGACAGCTGCAGCCGATCGAGCTGGCTGTCTATCCGGCGCACCTGACTAATTGAACGTCAGTTGGGATTGTGTGGTGCTCCAATTGATCGACTTACTCAACCACAAAAGACATGGCTACCAGCGCGTTGACATGTTTGTGGGGGGTTGCGGCAGGCTTATTTTGGGGCGAGGGGATCTGAACCAGGATGGGGCGCGCCTTCCCGCTCAAGATGACGCGTGCTACCACCACCATCACCACTACTTCCCTTTGAACTTTACAACTTTAAACTCGACATCAATCACTCGGTTTGCAATCATTTTCAGATTGTGTACGAGAGACTTTGAAAGTAGGTAACACCAAAATTCTAGAAACGACATTACATGAGAGAAGTGAGGAGTGTTGCCCGAGAATTGTGCAACACCAAACTGGCCATGGCGTGATTCTTTGGGTTGTCAAGATTGGTCATCAAGTGCACGCGATAGTGTACCAATTCTGGCCAGAAACATTCTTATTTTATTCTCTAAGTACGTAAATCATATCACATTAAGGTTGATGTCCTTCGCCAACCCCTGGGGATTGCGCGTTTCGTAAGACGATGGACGGGCCCTTGAATTGACGCCTGGACAATTTGGTGCCGAGCTAACAAAGAAGCGGAAACTTAGCCCTGTCCCGAGAACCAGTCTGCGGGCTTCGGAAGATTAATGTCAAGCTGCCCCGTTCTCCTGACAATCTTCCTGGCTGCTAGTATGGGGTGAGGAGAGCCGCAACGTTTAACCCATGACGCGAGCACCCATTCGGACCGAGGGCTGATCTGCAATTTCATCCATATCCATGGGATGTATCGCGCCGGTCGCTTCTTGGTCTGACAAGCGAGCGCTCATGGGTTCTAGCACTGGACTGGGTGAACGGGAGAGATCGAATTGCGGCACAGTCAACCTGATACCGTTTTGTTGGGCCTCGGGGGCTAGCAGGGTACCCTCGTCAAGTAGCGAGTCGCGCTTTCTGGGTAGCTTCTGGCGCATCCCTAGCTCCTTCCCGACCCTTTCAATACTCTTGAAGTACTATGACAAGCATGTCAGACGGCATGATTACTTGAATGCAATGACCCATGCAACGTACCTTGACAGTCTTTACTTGAAGTTCGAGGGTGGCGTCTTCGTCGACGACAATCATGGGATGCGGGTGCATCTGTAGACTGGACAGAGTCCACATGTGATTGACACCCCCCTCGATGCATCGCTGGAGGGCGGGAGCCTTGTGTGCACCAGTTATGATGATGACAACCTCGCGGGCCTGTATATATTGGTGAGAGGGTGAACAGGCGGCTATTGTGATGTGTGCAACTTACGTCAAGCACAGTTTGGACGCCAACCGTCAAGGCCATCTTGGGCACTTGGTCCAAGTCATTGCCAAAGAACCTCGAATTTGCAAGAATAGTCTCATAGGCAAGTGTCTTGACACGAGTACGAGACTTGAGGCTGGAGCCTGGTTCGTTGAAGGCAATGTGGCCATCGGGACCAATGCCGCCAAGGAACAGCTCGATGCCGCCGACACGGCTGATCTTGTCTTCGTAGCTTTGGCATTCGGCCTCGAGGTCAGTGGCATTTCCGTTGAGGATGTTGATGTTGTCTGGTTTCACATCGACGTGGGAGAAGAAGTGCTTGTACATGAAGCTGTGATAGCTTTCTGGATGGTCGCGAGGAATGCCAACATACTCGTCCTGATTGGGTCACTGTTACTACGGCTTGGCTCGAGAGGAGGCTGCTGTGCAACATTGGGAGTAGAGGTCGTACCATGTTGAACGTGATTACATTGCGAAACGAGACCTGGCCTGCCTTGTAACGCTGGACCAGGTGTCTGTAGATGAGAATGGGGCTGCTGCCGGTGGGCAGGCCCAGGACAAAGGGTCTGTCGGGGGTGGGGTTGAAGGCATTGATACGCTCTGGTGTTGATGGGTGAGTGGGCTGGGGAAGGTGCATTTGGGGGCGTGAGCGACGGACCAATAATGTAGTCTGCAATGTACTGGGACGCGGCATGGGCGTCGTCTCTGATGATTAGGCGCCTAGGTCGTATAAGCCGGGATGCATTCGTATTGCATCGAGGGGCAATAGGCCTTACATGATTGATCTGTATGTATAATGTGTATAGTTTGTATGGTATGTGAGTAGGCAGGTGTGTGTTTGCCTGTGATGGTTGCGGGTGGGATGTGCAATGGGGGACTGGGCGTGATTTCTATCACAGCAGTGCAAACTTTCACGTCATAGCCTTGTCAAAGTATCATTGCACATTTGTTCACGATGCTCCGACTGATGGTCAAGGGTTGGGAGCGGCCCAAGTTGCCTGATGCAGGCATGTGGGTAAAGGACGGACGGCTACTAGTCAACGTCGCGATGCAAGGCAGCCGTGGTGTTGCAGATCGAGAGACCGAACAAAGACCGGTTGCAACCGTGTGCAATGTTACGGGAGCATGCGTTATCTCTGGCCGATGCCGCTCGTGACGTTGATGATGATGATGATGATTGTGATGATAGCGACGGTGGATGCAGATACAGAAAGATAGCAGTGGACACCTGGGTCGCGTGCCGTTGGGGTAGCGAGTAGCGAGCAGCGAGGATGAAGATGCTATCCCGATGAGGGCCAGCAGATGGTCGTGTTACATTGCTGGAGGATATGTGGCCCATGCAGTATACACTCACGTGTAGGAAACATGTTCGCATGCGTGTGTGTGTGTATGCTGGGTAAGATGGGTGCGGGGTGGCGGGGTTGCCAGAGCGTTGCAGCCAGGTAGTAGCAGGTAGTCATAGTGATGGCAGGCGTGTAGTAGCCCGATAGGTAGTGCGGCCGTTGCTCGCCATGTGCCGGGTCCCGATGGGGCGTAGCGCGGGTGTGTGGATGGATGCGCCTGTGCCCACACCTCCCGATAAACCAGCAGCGCAGTGCAAGGCTCCTCGCCTCCAACGCCCCGCTTAGGCCCACCGAAGACCCTCGATATGCCCGATCCGAGAACGACGACTGGGCAATGCGCTAGGACATGGATACGAGTCGCGTCTGCCGTCTGTCTGTTCTATCTTCGTCTGTATCTGTCTGCCAGTCTACCGGCTTCCCTGCCAGCCTGCCAGCCTGCCAGCCTGCATGCATGCGTTGCTAAGTAACGTTGCTGGTCCAGTCGCCGTCCCAGTCACCCAGTCCCCGGCCAGCTGCACGTCCTAGCATCTGGCATCCTGGCATCCTGGCATCCTGGGCAGCCGTCACTTGGCCCCTCTTCTGTATTTGCCTTCACATCGTCTCACAGCAGTGCATCGCGGTCGCGTGCTGATGGCCGCCTCGTCTAACCCAAATCCACATTTGGCTGTCGAGGCACCATCAACAGCCCCTAGCGGACGAATGCTTAAAATGAAGCTGCCCCTCGCTTTCACTACCCCGACCCTCACGTAATTGTCCTGACTCCTGTTCAGCCGTCGCAGTGGTCTGAGCGTTACGATTCGACATCTTTATCGCTTCGTGCCCACCTGCTCCTTCCGACTCGCGACAGCGTGCCCTCCTGCCCACTACACCACGCCCACTGCACCCCAGCCTCGCCATCAACCCTTCGTGCACGCCAACATGGCAACCTCCACCGACAAGGACAATTTGGCCCACCATGTCAACTCGGCAGACCACTCGCTGACTGACAGCACCGCCCTGGACCTGCCAAAGTCATGGAAATACCGTCGCTTCACCATCGCCGGCTTCAAGTTGCCCTGGTTCGCTTCTCCCCCGACTCAGCTCGTCATTGTCTCCTTCGTCTGCTTCATGTGTCCCGGCATGTTCAATGCTCTCAACGGCATGGGCGGCGGCGGCCAGCTGGATCCCACCGCAAACAATCGCGCAAACACGGCCCTGTACTCGACCTTTGCCGTCATCGGCTTCTTCGCTGGTACCTTTACCAATAAGCTTGGCATCCGCACTTCCCTGTCCTTTGGCGGCATTGGCTACTCCATCTACGTGGGCTCCTATCTCTGCTACAACCACACCCAGAATCTGGGTTTCACCACTTTTGCTGGCGCCCTGCTTGGTGTATGCGCTGGTCTGCTGTGGTGCGCCCAGGGTGCCATTATGATGTCGTACCCACCCGAGGCTTCCAAGGGTCGCTACATCTCGTGGTTCTGGATGATCTTCAACTTGGGCGCTGTAATTGGTAGTTTGGTACGTTCCTCTCTTTCCGCCCTGCTCCGTCCGCCAAGGACTAACCCTCCTAGATTCCCTTAGGCCAGAACATCCACACCAAAACTGCTGGAACTGTGAATGATGGTACCTATATCGGTTTCCTGGTGCTCACCATCATGGGTGCCGCTCTCGCATGGTCCCTGGTTGATGCACGAGATGTCATTCGTGATGATGGATCCAAGGTCATTGTCATGAAGCACCCCTCGTGGAAGTCGGAGATTACCGGCCTATGGCAGACCTTCTTCACGGACCCGTACATTATTCTTCTTTTCCCCATGTTCTTGGCATCCAACTGGTTCTACACATATCACTTCACCCAAATTAACGCTGCCTACTTCAACGTTCGCACACGAGCTTTGAATGGTGTTGTCTACTACATCATGCAGATCATCGGCGCTTACGTCTTTGGCTATGGGCTTGACATCAAGGGCGTCCGCCGAACAACCCGAGCCAAAGCCGCATGGGCCGCGCTCTTCATCAGCGTCATGGTCATCTGGGGCTTTGGATACATGTTCCAGAAGACTTACGACCGCGCCTGGGCTGAAAACGAGAACAACATGAAGAAGGATTGGTCTGATGCAGGCTATGCTGGTCCCTTTGTTCTCTACATGTTCTACGGCTTCTTTGATGCTGCTTGGCAGACGTGTGTTTACTGGTACGCTCTTCACAAACTCTGCCTATTCCGACATTTTACTGATTTAATCCAGGTTCATGGGAGCTTTGACCAACAACAGCCGCAAGCTTGCCAACTTTGCAGGTTTCTACAAGGGAATCCAGTCTGCCGGAGGTGCCATCACCTGGCGTTTGGATGATTTGAAGGTCTCATACATGACCATGTTCGCCTCAAACTGGGGGCTCCTCGCCGGTAGTCTGTTGGTGGCCCTCCCCGTGATCCTTTGGAAGGTTGAGGACACTACTGCGGTTGAGAAGGACATCGAGTTCACAGACGAGACAGTCGCCGATGTCTTGCCCCATGCACACACCGAGTCTGCACACATTGAGCCAGAAAAGGTTTAATCTAGCTGTACAAAGCATGCTTATGACTGGGGGTTAACGGGTAACGACGGGGGTTGGCGTTTGGAACTTATTTGTTTATGATACCTCAAGCGGAGTTGCATTGAGTGGTTCCTCTGGTATATCGTTTTGCAGTCCTAGTGCCGACTTTCCATACGCGTCATATTTGGGCGTCTATGAATTTCGCGTGACATTACCTTTTTTTCCAAATGTACATATGATAGTATAGCAAGATAGGAACAATCTAAGGAGTGGGGCATGGTAGATTTACCAACACACTCGTGTGCTCATGTTTGTTTGGTCTCACAAGGTATGCGCTCTTACAGATGGACAACGTTGGTGCGCAGCATTAGCCCAAATGCGGTAACCAATACGTAGTACTATAGTATGAGCCTGGTCTGATCGTTACCAGATAGATGTGCATGCGTCCGCCCACAGCCGCTTCTAGATTGCCCCTCGTAGGTCGCCTAATAATAATGTCAGCATGCACGTGCTCGTTCCTCGGTCTGCCGGGGGCAATGACCTCGGACTGGGCAGTCTTTGCGGGAGCACGAGGGAGTCTGGTGGTACAGCGAGGTCCCCCAGTGGGGTTAGTACTTATGTGCCGTCAGCCGTTGGGGAGATAGTCGAGTCCTAGTCATGTAAGTGGCTCCCATTACGTTTTGGTAAGCGCCATCTGGCAACGGCGCCTGTTCGTGCAGTGTCAGATACTAGAGCAGAATAGAGGCTACGTCGGCGGGAGCATGTCGCAATGCATGTCCAGCGTTAGACCCGACCGAGTAGAAACCGATTCTATCCTTGGCGCTAGCGGACCCAGGACACAGGACACGTGCTGTGCCTCCAACATGCATATTCTCGGGCGTAGCATTCTCCATCCTCGCCCCAGGCGTTGGGTGCATACGCGTAACCGCGGGCAAGCTACGCTACGGCTGTACGATGATCGCCACCGACGCATGAAATCTGCAGTCGGGTTGTATCATTGTGTGGCCAAGTCATCCGCCATAGTCCTATCACCCACGCTTGCGGCTAGATTCGCGGCCCCGATATGGACTAGCGGGCCTCAGCGACTGTAACGGTAGCAATGGCTGTTAGGAAACTTTCTACGACACCCCACCAAACGCTCGCCATGACAGCTACGCCATACTTCTGCCTACTCGCTGAGCGTGCCTGGAACCAGCGGCACGCCATCGACTATCACTTTGCGGCCGCTAACTGGCGTGTCCAAGACGGCTGATTATTCCTGTTTCCCTTCGGCCACTCTCTCCTGCCCCTGTGTGCTGGGCCTCATCTGCGCATTTCACACGCCTGTCATCGGAGCAATACCTTGCTACGTCTGCTAGTGGATACAACCCTCTTTGTTGTTCTGACCAACCGTAAAACCATGTCCGTGTGGATTTCTGCAACATCAGTTTACTAATGCTACCGGCCCGTGTCGCATCTCTATGCATCTCCATATCCGCAGACCGACCTTCCACCGTCCTTGGTCTCTACGTGTTTGATTCAACGTTTTCAATAAAGTCTTAATCCAGAGACTCTGTCCTTACCGTCTCGCCAGGCCACACAGCTTACCTTTTCTCCATGCCCCCTCTGTTGCTACACCGCTCCAAGAATCGTCGCGTCCGCGTTATTCCGGACCCCAACAACTCAGGTGACGCTTACCACACAGCAACAGACAACGACCCTCGCCAACGCAAATACAAACGGCTCATGTTGGATTTTTGGCAAGGGCTCCTTGCGGCTCTTGAAAGAATCGCCATGTTACCATCAGTCATGCACTCTGTGCTGCCAATATTGTCGCCACGAAAACGCACCCGAGATGCATTGCGGACCTATGACCGGACCATGGAAGACATGTTGCGCGAAATCCAGACCCTCCTTGAAGCACCCTTAGACAACGAAAAATTGTTGGACATGTCTGCAGCCCTGCAAAGGCAGTTTGCCCCAAAACTACAGTCGAGCGACATTTGCATGTTGCCTTCTTACAATCACAAACTTCCTTCTGGACTGGAGAAAGGTACTTACCTGGCTCTCGATGTCGGTGGATCAACATTCCGCGTTGCGCTTGTCGAATTGAATGGTAAAAGGCCCGGTGCCAAGAATATGCGTATCATCTTTATGAAGAGCTACAAGATAGACGAGAAGGTCCGCCAGCGAAGCGGACACGACTTTTTTGAGTGGATGGCCGATAAGATTCAGCTGGCACTTGCAGATCAGCAATTGCAAGACTCGAACAGCACACAGACTTTTCCCATGGGTTTAGCATGGTCGTTTCCTGTTGAGTGCGTCTCCTACGTCCTTTGCTTCATGTACTTGGCTGACTTTTATCAGGCAAACATCTAGTCGCAGTGCAAACTTATTGGACATGGGCAAGGGCTTCCGAGCGACTGAAGGGCTTCTTGGTCAGGATCTTAGCGAATTAATAATGGCGCCGTGTAGAAAGAGGGTGAGTTTGAACTTCCCCAAATCGAAAGCCTAAAGCCGCTAACATTTATCCAGAACCTACCTGTGCACATGGATTCCATTGTCAATGACTCTTCTGCGACATTGCTATCGCGTGCCTACGAAGACCCATCAACACGCTTTGCTGTAATTCTTGGAACTGGATTTAACATATCTGTGCATCTACCTGTATCGTCACTTGCGAGCACCAAGTACAAGGGTTACCCACAGCAATGGATGGATGAAGCCACCCACGTGCTCGTCAACACAGAATGCAGCATGTTTGGAAAAGGTGTTTTCCCTACGACTAGATGGGATGAACAACTGAACGATGCACATGTGCGACCAGACTTCCAGCCTTTTGAACACATGATCAGCGGTCGTTACATGGGTGAGATAGTAAGGTTGATTGTTGTCGAAGCTGTACGCACAGCCGGTCTGTTCAGTGGCGAAATGCCCGCCCACTTGACCGAACCCTACAGTCTGGACACTGGAACCATTGCAGTCATGGAGATGGACGACTCAAAGTACCTTGGTCAGGCTATCGCTATCTTCCAGTCTCTACATCCACTCAGTAAGCTACCTACCGTAAAGGACATTCAATTTGTTCGCCGAGTAGCGCAACTTGTTTCGCATCGCGCTGCAGCTTTTCTCGCAACTGGTATTCATGCATTGTGGGTGCTTCGAACCGAGTCCGAAGGCCTGACGCCCGCATCCGCTGGCCGGATGAGCATTGGCTGCAACGGTTCAGTCATTGAAAAGTACCCCCTGTTCAGAGAGCTCTGCCAATCACATCTTCATGATCTGACTGCTGCATCTGGTGCCGAACCAAAGTCAATCTCACTGGAGATTGCTGTTGAATCAGCCATCTTCGGAGCAGCAGTATCTGCCTGTTGTCTCGAGGGACAAGCATAGTTCTTTTCCCTCCATTTATCTCCACCTTTTTTCTATTCTTTGAAAATGGTGGTTGTATATACACATGAGAGTTTTGTTGTTCTATTTCACCATCTAGAATCCCCCAAAGGGCTGGATATGAGATATCTGAAGAGGCATATGGGAGCTTGGATTTTCTTTTCTTCGGGTACATAAGTTCCCTGCGGCGTTGTTCATCATCATCACCATCATCACATTACTAGGAGGCGGTAAATCATATGGGTATGAGCATTTTTTTTCATGATCTAATGAAACATTCAATAATCAAACTTCCCAAATTTCTTAGAAAAAGTTATATTTTTTTCTCTTCTCCTCTACACCGAGCTACAGCCCATCAACCATGTACCAGATCAAGCATTCACGAACAGTTACACCGTAACGTCACAGCTACCAACTCGTAGACGACCCGCTTTTTCTCTTCCCCAACCACGCTGCCTTCCAATCTTCGCACGCCCTACCCAAATTCCCCTTGCCAATCTAAACCAAATCAAGACGTACCTTCCGGTGACCCATCAAGCCACGTGGGTCCGTCACCTTGTCAGAAAACGAGAGCGAGTCTAGGCTTAACTTACGCCCAACTATCTTAAGTACCTTTCTTAGCGTGTGTGTGCCGAGGTCTCATCGTATCCGTACCCATACTATCCCATCCATTACTGAACTAACACTTGCTTTCGCTCGTGATGTCGAAAAGAGGGATAGATAGTATGGAACGCCCCTCCCATTCGCAACGCCACTAGTAAGTAGTAGTACGAAATCTCAGCTTTGATTAGGGAGGAGGAGGGGGCGGTGATGATTCTGGATTCGGTGGGGGGGGGGGGGGGAGGACGCAACCATGTAGCGTAACCCTCTCTCTTTCTCTCTCCAAACCAAAAAAAAACGGTT